AAAACTTAAATTTGCTCTCTTTGTCAGTCGAATTCCATTGTTAATAAAACCATATACGTCCGGTTCTCATAGAAAGTACAGATTGTATATTCGTCTAAAATGGAAATACATTTTTTTCCTACGGTCGCATGCGATCTTACCTGGGTATATTTTTGTCAAGTAAAAAACCACGTGATGTCCCCTAAACACGCGAATTTGTTTCTCTAACCCAGTTCACGACCGCAACGATTGTAATCCATGCTTTGTATTTACTTCTCTTGAGTATAGATATTCGCGACTGTACACAGGATTGTTTCGCTAAAAGGGTCCTGTACATTTTCTCATGGCTTCTGACACTTCCTGTAACCATTAAGTCTTATAGTTTGTTTCAAACCTACCAAACTATTCCCTTGACTACTGATGGGGATGACTTGAAATGAACATTTGATTTAATATGAAGTCATGGCTAACCCATTGAATATATAAGTCATAATTCAGGCGAAAAACCGTGTTCTTCGTATCACCTTCAACCGTGGCCGTATATTTTCAACACCAGCTACTGATTTATCATTTCTGGGAAAGAGGAAAATGAACCATTATATTATGTCTAATATGTAAAAATCCTCTCTTTTACAGCATGTATTGTACAATCAACAGCTTTGCAAACATAAACAAAGAGAACAACACCAGGAAATGTTTTTCGGTAATCAGATTTATTCCAACCTTTATTCTACTCTCCGTTATGTTAACATTGTAATGAAATCTACCTGAAAATGAAAAAATGGATCAAATCCACTGCTCTTATAAAATGGTCAGATTAAAAAAATACTGTGTACCATTAGAACTGAATAATCCTTTAAATCTATATTTCTGCTTTTCCGAAACAAACAGTAACATCGTCTTCGAAACGAGTGAGTGTAACAGGAGAACTTAACCTTAAAAATTATTATCAGTGTGGACCCACCTGAAGAAGTTGAAATCATTTAATTCAGTCAACCTAGTATCTCCAGTCTGTGATGATCTGCTTATGTAAGCTGGATCCTATTCGCAAACAAACAATATAATCAGGACGTAGTTCATATTTCTTTTTCGATTGTCTCAAGTTACGTAACGTATGCAACACAATCGATACAAGCGATGAGCTTAAAGCAGTAATAAACTAACGAACAATCAGAATCATTAAAGACCTATCCCAAACAACCTACAGCGATTCAAATACGAAAGGACCGCTGCGTAGACAGTAATGAAGCAAAGGGAGGCTTTGAAAAATCCTATGTATTTACTTCAGTGGATGAGAAGTAAGGTCTGAGGTTTTTGAGTAAGTAAAGGTTGGACGAGCAAACGAGGGAGTATGTGGAACGAACAAAATCTTCCATGAAGTTCAACACGGGTTTCAGAAAGGCAGGCCGTGTGCATCCAATCTTCTCATAGCATGAGACAGTTCGACAACCTGCTGGGGGCCGAAAAATACGAGTGCACATAATCTTTCTTGATTTTGAAAAGGCCTTCGACACAGTACCTCCACGAACTACCAATTGCGAAGGTTGCGGAAATGGGTTTCACTGACCCATTTCTATCTTGACTCAGAAACTACCTTGAGAGTAGTGAGTTTCACAGCAAGGCAGATAGACTGCATGCTAGTTGGCGAATCTCAAAATCAGGAATTCATCTGGATACCATCTTAAGTTCATTTCTCTTCCTGACAAAAATTTAATGATCCATCAGACAAAGTCAGCTCAGTGGCGTTGATTTACGCGGACGATGGAAATATTTGGAGGCCTATTAGAAGAGAAACGGATTCAGCTGAGCAACATACTAAGCACGCTAAATCTTCCCAACTTGTGCATCCTCCCGAAACATTGCCACCACGCCTCTCGAGATAATCCTCTAAAAACTGCTCATTATTGGGAGTTGTTTCAAAAATTAGTTAAGGTTGTGTATTTGACCAGAATTCATGACGCTGTGGCTGTACGGTTGAACATTTTGTTTGCTTGCAACTCCTCACGATACAGCAGGATGTAAGTAATCAGTGTTATTGATGTTACTTTTACTCGTTATTCTCTCCTACGACTCATGTTCGTAACTTTGCAATTGTTTGAACCTCCTACCATGAAATACTATACTGCAAAAGAGGTCACTCATGAAATATCACAATCGCATCAGATCACTGTGACTCATTGTTTTATTTTGTACATCAACATTATTTCTTACAATTTACTTCTTCTGAATTTCCTCTGTTCGTACGATTAATCGCCCATTCGTTAATATACTACTGAATTGTCTTTATTAACCTACATGAGTGCAGGCGTACAGGTAGTGTTTTATTTTAGAAAGTATCGGCTGAGTCATCTTTTGGCTTTAAACATGAATATTTTCTGTTCTGCTCTTTATTTCTCTTTTTCAGCACCTTATTCCAATCCTTAAATATTAGTCTAGATATTTGCCGAAGACGCGGTCACTTAACCCACGAGCCTGTAAATTTATGATATGAAGAACATCAAGCAAATCTTAGCACACTTACCTCCTCAATTCTTGTTTTACACAGACCTGGCTCTATCTTGCATTGTTACACAGTCATCCGCAGTTCGTCGTAAATTGCAGTCTGGAAAATTATCCACAATTTTATGTGAAAATTTTCCGCCATCTCTTTGAAGAAAATGTATCATGTGAAACATTTCACTAACTGAAAAACCTTTTACAATAAATATGTTAGCAATTTTAACATTTTTATCTTGCCTGTAAATTGGCAAGCCTCTTGTAACATGCTGTTAAATGCGCATAAATTTTTATTATTAAGCACGTCAAATCGTCCCAACTTGAGCATCCTACCGAAAAATTGCCACCACGCCTCTCGAGGTAATCCTCTAAAAACTGTTCATCAAAGAGCGAACAACCAGGTTCATGCAGACTTGCTCTCACTATTAGTTGTTACAAATCGGAATTCTCTCTCAGCCGAGGTGATCAAGGCTCCCTCGGTAGACAGCCTTAGGGAGAGTCTTGATAAACACGTACTGACATTAGGATTATTGTTTCACTCGTGGACCAGCTGCGCCTGATTCATGCCTTGAAACCCGCTACGATAGTCTTAGCGGACGTTCATGAAAGTTAGCGACGTAGAATCAAACCACTTACGCCTTACCTTCATAATGTCAGTGAGTACACTGAAGTACTTGAATTCTGTTCACGAACCTTCTTTGGATGCATTCATAGTAAGACTGTATATTAAATGTACTGCCAACTGTAAGTATTAGCCTTTATTTCTTACTTTCTAAGATGGAGGACTGATCGAACTCATTTCTGGGGCTTTAATTCTAATCTTATAGGGAGCATTTTGGTCAGTATTCTTGTCCAGAGGACTCAGAGGTAATCTACTCATGAGTTAATACATCTAAATAATTCTGGTCATCTAGAAAATTATTTATCAATATTTTTCCTTTGCTAGTAATATTGTGGCGGACGAAGAAACGTTCGAAAATAACTTTACACAGTAAAAATTCAAAATGTTTGTGAGTTGATGGAATGCAAAACAAGTACTTAATTAGTACAGGAATTACTTGCAGTTATCAGAAGTCTCCTTTTACACAGAATCAAATATAAATATCCACATTTATGATGAATAAAGGTAGAATAATTCCAGTGAATTATTGACCCAAAGTGATCGTGCGTAACTGTCGGTAGTGCCTAATATGATGTGGGCCTAAAAGGCATTCGGAAGGTTTGTGATTAAACGGTTACAGAAAGGTGGTCAACGGATGAATACGAATTACGTACACGAAAACTTGTATTTTGTGGACGGTTATAATGATAGTAATAATAATAGCTTTAATCATTATCATATGTTGAGTAAAATATGAAATTTTCAGCACGAAATATTAGAGAAAGTTTATTCTTACGAAACAGTTGGCAGTTAAGGAATTGACTTCTTATTACCAATTATTGTTTTAAAGCAGTTCGTCCGTTTTATAAATTTTGATAGAACAGTGAGAAGACGTAATTGATCCGAAAAATGTGATGTATTCGCGCTACACATTTCTAACAATCTGGTCACACATATACTTGACAAGGCATTCTATATCAAGATTAATAAAAGGTCAATTAAATAAAAGTTGAAATATACATAAGGTGATAATTGTAAATGAAGGAGAGAGAGAATTTGCATAATATAGATGGTATAAGTAAGGGTAAAAAACTGTCAAACTACCCTAGGCCATAAAATGGTTTACAGATTACCAAGACAAAATCAAGGTTATAATAAATCGTTTCTGTACACAAAAGAGGGGTTTTAATTTACGTATAACCAAGGTTTCCATAAACCTCACAATTCATCCTTATGTGTACTTATGTGTACCTTATGTATATTTCAACTTTTATTTAATTGACCTTTTATTAATCTTGATATAGAATGCCTTGTCAAGTATATGTGTGACCAGATTGTTAGAAATGTGTAGCGCGAATACATCACATTTTTTGGATCAATTACGTCTTCTCACTGTTCTATCGAAAGTTTAATAATTTCTCGGCAGATTGACAGCCACCTCAATGTCCTTACTTGTTCTGTTTTGTACATAGTGAAGCGACAGCCCAAGGCTTTTATATATACGCGCTTGAACTGATTGCGCGAATAAAAGACATAACTGCCTTCTTAAAATAAACTGAAAGTGTAAGTGGTAGAAAGACTTCAATGTTAGTAAATTGGTAGCCCAGGTATTTAGGCAGGTATTCAGTATAACATGCGAATAATGAACAGGTATAATGCTAATCATCCGAAAAATTGTGTCGCAAATAAAGTGTTTCCGTGCATTAAATTAAATCATAGAACATCACAGATTATAACCAGAATAGGTTAAATGATTTCGTCTCAACTATCTCAACAAAATATACCCAAGACACATCAGAAGGGCATTGGCGATCAACTCTAATTATTCGTGAAATTCTTTTAGGCGAAATGCTCCTTCATTCCGACCAGAACAATTAGAGTCAGAGTAAAGTCTGGGTTGGAATTTGTACAAAACTAGTTCACGATTTATCGTTAGCGCTACGTTTGCCTGATGGACAACGGTGATGTTAATCTTGAGGAAGGAGAGCTTGATGTAGATCTCAGTGATGATGAAGGCAGCAAGTCCAAAAATGAAAAGTGACTAATTTTTCGGTTGATTATATTTCCTCTCAGTGATTATACAAAATTAGAGAAACTGGGTGGAGAAGTTGAGGTAAAAAAACACAAGAAGAAAGAGAAGAAGGCAAAGAAGGAAAAGAAGCACAAAAAGAAGAAGAAAAAACACAGACGCGAAGTAGAGGATAAATGGTTTCCTTAATTTTTGTTGATTTTACTTGACTTCAGTTCTCTTAATAATGGGGACGTCCAATCACCTGTAAAAGAACCGAAGTTAGAAGAACCTAACAGCCTCAAAAATGAAGTAAATGACATCCCGGTTGTCCAAAAACGTGTCCCTATCTCTTTGGAAGAGCTGATTCTAAGAAGGAAAGCAGAAGAGGCAGAATTAGTTAAACCAAAATTTATTTCTAAGGAGGAGCGTATTCAACAGGCTATTCAAAGAAGACAAGCTGAAGTCCAAGCTCAACGTGAAAAGCAAATGGAGGCTTTCAAAAAACAGACCGAATATCTTGAAGGCGCCAAAGGTTATATTCATCTGTATTATTATTGTTTTAGATTTAGAACGAAAAAGACGCGCCGAAGATTTTCAAGAAAAAATGAGACAGCATCGATACTCTAGAAATACTGGAAAGAGAGCAGTTCAAGAGGAAGGTTCGGTTGATAAGATGAACTCTATTTCACAAGAAGAACAGGCTATCAAAGAGCGTTACTTGGGTCAGAAGCGTCTGACAAAGCGTCGACCTAGACGACTTAATGAAAGAAAATTTGTATTTGACTGGGATGCTGCCGATGATACTAGCCAGGATTACAACCCGCTGTACAAAGAGAAACACCAGATCCAGTTTTTTGGCCGTGGACATATTGGTGGTATTGATATCAAAGTAACCAAGCATTTTAATTCTTTACATCTTTCAGCAACAAAAAAAAGAAATCGGACGCTTTTATTCAAAACTGTTAGAAAGCCGCCGTTCTGATACCCAGAAAGTTCAAGAAAAGTAATGAATTGTTATATTTTCTTTATGGTTTAGGAAGCGTCTGAGTGGTGTAGCGAAGCGCGAAGCCAAGCAGAAATGGGATGACAGACACTGGACAGAAAAAGCTCTTGATCAGATGACTGAACGCGATTGGCGAATCTTCCGCGAAGATTTTAATATATCTACCAAAGGAGGTAATATTCCAAACCCTCTTAGGTCTTGGGCCGAAATGAATGTTGCTGATGAACTTAAGGATGTTATTAAAAAGGTATACATGCTAACTTGGTTTCACTTTTTCATTAGGTTGGTTATCCCGAACCAACACCGATTCAACGTCAAGCAATACCAATAGGTCTACAAAACCGTGATATTATTGGTGTTGCAGAAACAGGCTCAGGAAAAACTGCAGCGTTCCTTATACCTCTGTTGAATTGGATTCAGCGACTTCCAAAACTAGAGAGACTTGAAGTAACTTTAACTCCTTTTTATTAAATATTTGCAGGATACGGAACAAGGACCATATGCTATCATTATGGCTCCTACTAGAGAGTTGGCGCAGCAAATTGAGGAAGAAACTGTGAAATTCGGTCGACCATTGGGAATCAAAACGGTTTCGCTGATTGGTGGTCTGTCGCGTGAAGAACAAGCTCTAAAGCTTCGGATGGGCGCCGAAATAGTTATTGGTACTCCTGGTCGTTTAAACGATGTTCTGGAAAACCGGTACATGGTACTTAATCAATGTACTTACATTGTTTTAGATGAAGTAAGTACTATCGGATTTCAATTTTTTAAGTAAAACAAAGTTTTCACCTTTTTTTATTGGATCATGTCTTAAAACAAAGACACGATCAGACGCCCCAAAACAGTAGTATTTCTGGACCCTAAAGCGGCTTTCGACTCTGTTGATCATGAGGTTCTATGGCAGTGTCTGTCATTAAAAGGTGTACCAAAGTAGCACATTAACTTTATACAGGCTCTCTACTCGAACACCACTGGTAGAGTAAGAGCTTGTGGCGAACTGTTATCAGGATTTTTTACTTCAAGTGGTGTCCATCAGGGCTGTCCTATTCTCTTCTCTGTTGTTTAACTTTGTCGTAGATATGCTTCTAGAATGAACTTTATCTTCGTCTGACTTTTCAGGAGTGGACCTTCTACCAAGAGACTCGCTTTCTGACTTTGAGTATGCTGATAACGTGATTCTATTCGGTAAAGACGCTGACAAAATGCAGTCTTCTGACCACCCTATGCAACAATGCAAGCATGTGGGGTTGTGGTTTTCTCCCTCAAAGTGCAAAATGTTACTTCACCTGAACTAGTGATAGGGACCGAAGTAGTTGAATGTGTAGACCGCTTCACTTATCCGGAGAGTCTCATCAGCGCTGATGGCCTGGTGACTGACGAAATCTCAGCACGGATACAGAAAGCTCCATTGGCTTTTGCCAACCTGTCTCACCTATGGCGCAGGCGAGATATCCGTTTGCTGACTAAAGGACGAGCATCAGTTCGCTCGGTCCTACTCTGTGGATGCGAAATATGGCCGGTAGGAGTAGAAGACATTCGTAGAATATTAGTATTCGATTATAGATGTCTTCGAAGCATAGTTCGTATAGCCTGGAACAACCGAGTGAGCAATGCCATAGTTAGGAAACGAGTACTAGGTAAGGATGGCAGATCAATTGATGAAGTAGGGAAACTACAACAGTTGAGGTGGTTGAGTTGTGTTATGCATGGCCAACTGCTGACTGCCTCAATGAGCTACGTTTAGTGGTGTAGGAGTAGGTTGGAAGAAAGCTAGTGTGGCCAGACCAAAACATGGCGCAAATCCATGAAGTCAGTGACAAATGGACTAGGTCATGAGTCAAGTGGACTGAGTCAGATATAGGCTACCTGGTTGGGGTCCGCGAGACGAAAATAACTGATGGTTATTGACCTTTAATGACATGGCATAAAATCATTTGCAATCGCTCAGGTGCATCCACTCTTTGTTTTCCCCCAAATTCTAACCTCCTGAATTTCTCATACATCTGTCTTTCTAAAGTCATCTCACTGAATTAAACTTCTCGAATAATATCTTCGAACCATAATCTTTTTCTCCATTAATGCTAATGCTTATACCTCTACTACTATGGGATTTGGACTGACAGTTGCATCTCTGTACTGATCGGTATAGCAACCTCAACTTGTGTACTTATGTACGAAGTTCTACGTTGAAAATTTTATATTGATCGAAAAAGCGTGATCTGCGCCTTCCCCAACTTGTCATAAATGCTTAAAAATTCTACTTATTTATGATGTTTTTAAATTTATAGGCTGATAAAATGATTGATATGGGTTTCGAACCTGAGGTCAACAATATTCTCACGTATTTACCGGTTACAAATGAGAAGCCTGATAATGAAGATGCTGAAGATGATTCGAAGCTTTTAAGCAATTTTGCAACCAAACATAAGTATCGTCAAACCGTCATGTTTACAGCTACCATGCCTCCAGCAGTTGAACGTCTTGCTCGTTCCTATTTAAGGCGACCCGCGATGGTATATATTGGAAGTGCTGGTAAACCTACAGAACGAGTGGAACAAATTGTTTATATGGTTTCAGAACAAGAAAAGAGGTAGCTTTTCAAACTGATAATCAAATTTTTATAACTAGGTCAATTTTGGTTTGGTTATAATTTTACCTATCTTAGGACTAAAGGCTCTGTCATGTGTGCCCGATTATCATTGTTGACATGATACATTGGTTTTAAGTAATGATGTGAATTATTAGTACCACCTAATAATCCTGACTGGCACTTATTAAAAAGCTTAATCTTTATAAACCATGCTCGCTCTATAATTTATGAGAAAATTCTAGTCCTGTCGATATTTTTTGTCCAGAACCGACCCCTTGGTAAACGACACATTCAATATATTTTGGTTTTGTACGGTAAAGCGAGTAACCTTTCCGCTAATGAGTACGCTGCTCCTCATTATCTCCGCATATATGATTTCTTAAGATGGAAAATGTCATCTTAATTACATCTATCGTTGTGTTAAAAAATTCGTTATTCAACTGGATAAATATTTAAGTTTAAAGAAAGAGTTTGAAGATACATATATATACATTCTTTGTCCACTGAAATGAAAAATATTACTTCAGGACTGGTCTGCATAAACTTAGTAGTTAAGATTAGGAAATGAAATAATTAAACGCGTTGACCACTTCATATGTATCAAGAGTTTCATCATCCCGCGTTGATTAGTAGGTAGGTAGGCTTCTAACCGTTTGGTCGGTGTCACCAAAATGTCCGCCTTCCAACCAATAAATATATATACTCCACAACAGCCCTCTTTATTACCTCGGTTGCAAAACATGATCTTCAGAAGTAGAGGACATACATTAGTTTCAGTTTTTCGATTATATATATGCTTTCAAAGCACCTTGATGACTGATCTGAAGCCCATAAATAACAGTTAAACAAACGTTTGCTAATTTATAGAGTTTTCAAAAGCATCACAAAATATAGACTTGTTGTTGTGATGTCTGTGATAGGAAAGAAAAAAGCAAACATACTTTACCAACGGCTTCTGAGTACCTCTATGCGTATTCCTACACTAATTTTGTTTAATTCAAAAGCGAAGTAACACTAGTTCAAGTTTTAAGAGAAACTAACTATTTGAAGCTGCAAGCTTTATGCCTTCATTATAGGTTATTTAGTCGTTAAATCAGGAGTTGAAGAAGTTTTGTTTGCATACACAACATTAGAATCTCTTAACTTTCACTTTTGTAGGAGAAAACTACTGGAAATACTTGCTGCAGGACTTGATCCACCTGTGATCATTTTTGTCAATCAGAAAAAAGGTGCTGATGTTCTTGCTAAAGGACTAGAAAAGCTTGGATACAGCGCTGTTGTTTTACATGGAGGCAAAGGACAGGAACAAAGAGAATATGCTTTGGCAAGTTTGAAGTCTGGTCAAAAGGAGATCTTGGTCGCAACTGATGTTGCTGGTCGTGGCATTGATATCAAGGATGTATCAATGGTTATAAACTATGACATGTCTAAAACAATTGATGGTAAGTCGACAGGTCCTTCGCTATTTACTCAGGTGTAACTGTCTGTCAGTCGCGAAGTTCTATGGCAGTGTCCGTCATTGAAAGGAGTATCAAAGAAGTACATAAACCTTATAAAAGCTATCTACTCAAACATTACTGGTCGAGTTAGAGCTTATGGCGAACTGTCATCGGAATTGCTTACTTCAAGTGATGTCCGTCAGGGATGTCCACTCTCTCCTTTCTTGTTTAACTTCGTCATTGACATGCTTTTAGATATGGCACTTTCATAGTCTGAATTTTCAGTAGTGGACCCTCTACCAGGAGCCTCACTGGTTGACTTAGGATATGCCGATGACATAGTTCTACTTGGTCAGTCAGTCAGTTGCAACGTAGAACTTCGTACGTAAGTACATCAGTTCATGTCGCCATACCACATCAGCACAGAGATGTGCAATTGTCAATTCAAATCCAATAGTAGAAGAGGTAGTAAAGGTATTAGAAGTAATCGTAGACGTTAGAATTAGAAGATATTATTCACGAAGTGTGATTCAATGAGATAAGTTTAGAAAGTAAAAGCTAGAGGTGTTGAAGAACTCAGAAGATTAGGATTTGAGAGAACACAAAGAATAAATGCACTGGCGCCATTGCGAACGATTTTGAGCCATGTCATTCAAGGTCTCTAACCATCGATTATTATCATCTCGCGGACCCCAACCAGGTAGTCGACAATTACCGACATGGCTAAGTCCACTCGTCAATGACTTCATGGATTTATGCCATGTTTTGGTTTGACCGCCCCTAGCTTTCTTCCAACCTATTCCTACACCACAAAACAAAGCTCGACGAGGCAGTCGGTGGTTAGGCATACGCAGCACATGTCCCAACCACCTCAACTGGTGATGTTTCATTACTTCATCTATTGATCTGCCATTCTTACCTAGTACCCGTTTCCTAATAACAGCGTTGCTAACTCGGGTGTCCCACGATATACGAGCAATGCTTCGAAGACACCTATGATCGAAAACCAATAACCGTCGAGTATCTTCTACTCTCATTGGCCATGTTTCACAGCCATAAAGTAAGACAGAGCGAACCACTGCGCAGTACACTCGTCCTTTAGTCAGCAAACGGATATCTCGCCTACGCCATAAGTGACGCAGGTTGGCAAAAGCCAATCGAGCCTTCTGTATCCGTGCCGAGATTTCGTCAGTCACCAGGCCATCAGCACTGATGAGACTCCCAAGATAGGTGAAGCGGTCTACACGTTCGACCACTTCACTCCCTATCACTAGTTCAGGTGCCGACGACACCCAGTCTTGAAGCAACATTTTGCATTTCGAGGGGGAAAACCGCATCCCGAACATGCTTGCATTGTTGCTTAGGGTAGTCAAAAGACTCTGCATTTTTTCAGCGTCTTCACCAAGTAGGACAATGTCATCGGCATATTCTAAGTCAATAAGCGAGCCACCTGGTAAAAGGTCTACTCCTGAAAATTCAGACGAGGATAAGGTAAGTTCTAGGAGCATGTCTATGATAAAATTAAACAAGAATGGAGAGAGTGAACATCCCTGACGGACACCACTTGATGTAGAGAATTCCGGTGACAGTTCGCCATAAGCCCTCACTCGACCAGTGGTGTTCGAGTATAGGGCTTGTATAAGGTTAATGTACTTCTGTGGTACACCTTTCAATGACAGACACTGCCACAGAACCTCACGATCCACTGAGTCAAATGCCGCCTTAAGGTCCAGGAAAACAACTATTGTAGGACGCCTAAATGTGTGTCTGTGTTCCAGGACCTGTCGTAGTGTGAAAATGTGGTCTATACAGCCACGTCCAGGTCGAAAACCAGATTGGTTTTCCCGAGTTTGCTCTTCACGAGCTTTCGTTAAGCGTCGAAGTATTATTGAGGCCAATATTTTAGATACTATGTTAGTTAGGCTTATTCCCCTGTGATTGTCACAAGAAGACTTCTACTTGGTGAAGACGCTGACAAAATTCACTGAATTCTGACCACCCTAAGCAAGAATGCACACATAGGAAATGCGATTCTCCCCGTCGAAATGCAAAATGTTGCTTAAGGATTGGGTTGTATCGGCACCTAAACTACTGATAAGAAGTAAAGTAGTTGAGCATGTTGACCGGCTTCACTTATCTTGAGAGTTTCATCATTGCTGATGACCTGGTGTGACGAAATCTCAACATGTATACAAAAGTCTCGGCTTGCTTTTGCCAGTTTCACCGATAGCGTATGCTAGATATCCGTCTGCTGACCAGAAGACAAACCTACTAGCAACAGTTCGCTCCGTCTTACTTTACCGGTGTGAAACATGGTCAGTAGGATCAGATGATATTCGTAGGCCATTAGTATTCGATCACTGGTGATTCATAACCATTGCTTGTATATCCTGTGGTCACCGAGTAAGCAGTGCCGTTGCCGGGCAAAGGGTATTAAAGAAGGATGTCAGGTCGATGGATGAATTAGTGATTGTCCACCAGTTCAGATGGTTGGGACATGTGTCACGTTTGTTCAATCTCTGACTGTCTCGATGAGCTGTGTTTTGTATTATAGGAGTAGGATGGAAGAAAGCTAGGGACGATCAAATCAAAACATGACACAAATCTATGCAGTCACTGACAAATGGATTGAGTCATGTTGCTTAGTATAGACAGCCTGGTTGGGGTCCGCGAAATAATAGTAACCGATGGTTATAGACCTTAGACGACGATGGCTCAAAATCGTCTGCAATGGTACACGTGCATCCATTCTTTGTGTTCTCTCAAATCCTAATCTTCCGGATTCTAGATCACCTTTATCTCCCACTTTTTAAGTTTATTTCACTGGGTTGTACTTCTTGAATAATATCCTCGAACCCTATTCTTTTTTATTAATGCTTATACTTCTGCTACCTCTACTACTATGGGTTTGAATTAACAGTTACATTCCTCTGTACAAATGTGGTATGGCAACGTGAACTGATGTACGTACTTACCAAATTCGACGTTATAGATGACTGACTGATATCTCCATTAATTGTAAATGGTGAACTTTGAACTCAAGATAACAGTCATTCAAAGATCATCATAATCGGAATGAAATGACTGATTATTATGATTTCCTAAAATTCTTTTGTGTTATTTGTCTCAAAGATTTAAAATGTCTTGTCCATTTTTTCAAACCATCACCGAGAAATCGAGTATGTGACCTCGGTCTTACCTCAGTAACTAAACAATATTTTTGCAACGTTTTGGCGCATAATTCTTGCTTATTGATTCAAATTCATATAAATATATCAAAATCCTTAGTGAGATTGTTTATTTGTGCAATCGTTCACATGATCTGAACATAGCTAACTTCGCTTAATTGCCTATAAGTTTCATATTTCTTATTCTTTCTCTGCTTAGAATATGTACATCGCATTGGGCGTACTGGACGTGCTGGCAAGTCTGGTATTGCAATCTCACTGCTTACGAAGGAAGATGCTCCTGTATTTTATGATTTGAAACAATTATTAATCCAGTCTCCTGTATCGACTTGTCCTCACGAACTTGCCAATCATCCGGATGCTCAAACAAAGCCAGGTATATTAGCCGCAAAGAAACGACGCGCTGAAGAGACAGTTTATATTACGTAGAGAAATAGACCTGATTCTCGTTGTGTTCGGGTTTTTGTTATTCCAGCTTGTAAATACAGGAAATAGTCCAGCTGCTATTTACTACATCTAAAAGCTGTTGTACGTTAGTACCACTGTTTTTCAGTGTATTTGTACATAATACATAAACTGTTAATAAAATCTTTGATACTGTATTTTTGTCAGCTTATGATGAGTGTCTTCATGGTTTCTTTCGGTGCAAAGGATATTTCAACTTAGCGCTTGATGCAGTTTTCAATGAGTGTTAAGAATACGCATAACACCAATTCACCAACTGTTTAAAGTTGGTGGTATTGTACAGCTGTACAAAAAGGAAATTGTTGAACGCTGTATATTGAATCATTATCCACAACCTAACTGGAAGCTGTTAGTCTGGCTCTAGGTTAGGTCTTTTGACTGAAATCGATAATTATCCATATGGGTCGACTGTAAGTTCGGAGATCGAACGAAGTACGCTAGCCGTTATGTCGGGAATAGTTTAAATTTGATGGTGAAATTATGCTGCTATATGATAGGAGTCTAGTGATTTTGTCAGTATCCAGCACCTCTTCGATAGTATTCTTTCCGACTAATGAGGAAAAACAGTTTGTCTTAAAAAGTTGTGTCTACTCGATGTTCACTTTCTCTTAAATGTTAGTACTCTTTCTTAAAAAGCTTATAAAATTCTTTCAAAGCTTGTAATTAGTTTTTTGCAGATTTTCCTTGAACTCTGTTAACAAAACCAATCATTTTCTTATGTTTGAAGAAAAATATTATAATTCTTAGCTTAGATGTATAGGCTATTGGCTTCTCTGTGTTCCCACTGATAAACTTTTTCTTCTATCTTAACACCAGTCATGAAGTTATACTTTTCCGAAACATCCCATCAGATGTGTTTCGGAGCATTCAACATCTGAAGTAAACGTATAGTTCTTCTTGACCATTTGTTAGAACCATAGTTGTTGGATGTAACTAATAAATCCCAGAGAATGAAAGGTTGATAATTGCTTTTCCAAAAAGATAAAACTTTAAAGTGTTCAGATATTTGTCAGTAGTTCCGACGGATTAACTAATCACAGCTTGGATAAATCTTTATAAACAAATAATTGCAACACATTATTGGTTGAAATGTCAAGATTGTAAATAAAGTAGTAAGGGTGAATATATTGTAAGTCAATTGTATGATGATGTCTGATATCTAAAAACGAAGTAGTATTTAATAGATTCATTAACAGAATTATATCAACCCTGGTAGTAGGATCTCGTTAAAGATGTGAAGTGTTTTTTCATTCATACATGGAAATTTCTATCATTTACGAAACTGATGGATTCCTAGATAATCGTTTATATCCAAGTAAATTATTAGCATGCTTGATCAGGTTTTTTAAAACAAGATATGACGACTCAAAATGTTTAAGATTATTGACGAAGAAATGTATATTCCCACTATACAATAGAGATGACATACAGGTCTAGTTTCAATAGTACCTGCTAGAATTCAGTGACACATATCAAAAACTGTTTTACAAGAAAATAAAAATAATCCAGTTACACGAATTAATGATGCATAAGATATGCTTTCTAATATTTGTAATACTCAAAACAAACAAATCCAATGTGTAAATATTCTCGAAACCATTTATACGTATCCATAACCAGGTATAAGTGATTATAACACGGGACTGTGTTCTTGCTTGTTTGAGGCTGTGCTTATCAACAGTTTGATGAGAAAAGTCTGTTAAGAGGATGGTATAAATCGAATTTCATGAATCATATCATATTAGGTTGATGGTTTCTTTTTATTTAGGGTTAAACCAAATGTTTATTTAGGACGGAGTATTGTGTAATATCATAAGATTATGCCTGACACACATACAAAGACTAAAGAAAGAGGAACAGTTCGCTAAGTTTTATATGAATTAAAACAGAAGACACTGACCATTTTCGTTGATGTCGCATCAGTAAGAATAGAAATAGGAAGCTTTTTCAAATGTAACTAACCAACAGTTATTTATCTTATATCACTTTTCCTTAACTATTTCTGATTGCACCTTGTCAACGCCTTATAAAATAGTAGTATATTTGAATTACTCGAGTGAACAGGATATCAAAGTTATGGTGTTCTGCAATATACTGTAGGTTACTTTTTCAGTAAATAAATAACTTTTAGTTTGTTTAGTTGATATAAGGGAAAAATATTTGGTTTGTCCAGTTGCGTTTGACCTATTTATCTACTTCGAGGGTGATTCTTTTTATTTATACATGCATCTTCTTATTCTTTTGTATCTATCATTAATCACTGATTAGTTAACTTGGATTTTCACTTTTCCTTATTATTAATACAGTAACCAATGTAAACATTACAATTACTCAATTCCCTTTTGTTTTCAAATTATTTTACTTCATTATTAAGTCAGTTTTTAATAGTATTAACTAAATTATCAATATTTGATTAGCATAATATTTATCATCATTTTTGATATATATATATCTGTTACGCATGCACATAAACACGTCATTTGATACGCTTGAACTATTAAGTGTTTACCTTAGTCGGAAAACGAGAGCGAGGATCCGTCGACACGACCTGCTGCTCTAATCTGAGCATCCTTAAACCCCCATTGAGTAAAAGAAGAAAACTTGATATAATGTAGAACATGTATTCTACGAATATCCAAAACGTACGGGGTCCAAGTGCTGATGAGAATCAGGATCCCGGACTAAGGATCCTAGTCCGGGACATAAGATGCGTATTCATACAGTTAGTTCGAATAAGGAACAACACTGAAGTCTGCGACATTGGTAGTTAGGATGACCAATAGAAATTAACCAGTAGAATTAAACTTACAAACAATTATCTTGAAATATTGGATGAATATCCTAACAATATCCACTATTCAATAAATATAAATGAAAATATTTTTTTACTCAACAATTTTTTTTCACTAAATATGGAATTTCATTGTACTGGTGTTCATTCAAGAAGAAAAATGAACACAACTCCCTTTACTACCTCTTCTACTATTGGATTTGAATTGACAATTACATCTCTGTGCTGATATGGTATGGCAACATGAACTGATGTACTTACGTACGAAGTTCTACGTTGCATCTGACTGACTGATTACATATCAACTACGCCTGTAGACCCCCTGGGGCTACTGAGGAGGAGGGTTGAGTATGGTGTTGGCGACCCAATCTCGCAGAAAACGAACTCGCTAAAAAAACAGTTCAAACCATATAAACTCTGCTCTGGAAGTTAGGTGTTCATTTCGAAGAGTTATGACGTCTCTTTGTCTTATCTGCTTACGCTCCCACTGACTGAAGTTCAGACGAGATAAACAATGAATATTACAGAAAACACTCTAATCTCCTTCAAAATGTTAAGCGCTCTGATTGAATGATAATGGCTGGTGACTTTAACGCTTAAGTAGGTAGACGAAGTTAAAAGGAAAGACACCTGGACAGATCTTATGGTGTCGCGGCCCAGAGAACAGACAGTGGCGACCTTCTGCTGCAGCTATGATCAGATAATCGCAGATACTAAGTTTAAGCATAAGGAAAAACATCTCTTGACTTGGCGACCCCCAAAGTCGTCTCAACGTTGGACCCAACTAGATCACATCGCTATAAGCCATCGGTGGAGAGACTATGGAAGATTGCCGCTCATTCTGGAACACATGTTTAGACTTAGACCATGCTCTAGTGCGAGCGCGCATTTGTTTGCGGCTTACTGGACGTAGGGAAAATATCGCAAGGAAACCTCTTAGGGTTCTACCTAATGATGGCAGAGCTATGAACATATTTCAGGAGCAACTAGAAAGACAGGTGACCATGTAAGTAATTCCCATCCGGAGGCAGCTTGAAATGATATCCAAAAAGCTAAGAAAGCATCGGTAGTAACTGTCAGTCAAGTAAATTATAAGGTTGGGTAGAAGCAGTGGATTTCAGTATCATCCACCGAACTGATTGATGCTCGTAAATTCATCCCACCTGGCTCTGAACATGATGAGCGGAGTCAGATTAAGCGCAAGATGACAAAAAGCCTATAGGCCATAGGAAATCTGAAGCGAAAGAGAGCAGCAGGTCCCGATATGCTTACCCCTGAGATTTTCAAGGGTGGTGGTCCAGTCTCAGCAGCTAGATTGACTGAAATCTTAGGTAGAATCTGGGAACTGGACACAATCCCATCCGACTGGTCTCAATCACTGATTGTCCCAATCTATAAGAAAGGACAAAAGTCTTCTTGTGACAATCACAGGGGAATAAGTCTAACTAATATAATTTATCTAAATTTCTGGCCTCAATGATACTTCGACGCTTCACGAAAGCTCGTGAAGAGCAGACTCGAGAACACCAGGCTGGTTTTCGACCTGGAAGTGGCTGTATAGACCACATCTTAACACTATGACAGGTCCTGGAACACAGACACACATTTAGGCGTCCTACAATAGTTGTTTTCCTGGACCTAAAGGCGGCATTTGATTCTGTGGATCGTGAGGTCCTGTGGCAGTGTCTGTCATTGAAAGGTGTACCAGAGAAGTATATTAACCTCATACAAGCTCTCTACTCAAACACCACTGGTCGAGTGAGAGCTTATGGAGAACTGTCGCCGGAATTCTCTACTTCAAGTGGTGTCCGTCAGGGATGTCCACTTTCTCCATTCTTGTTTAATTTTATCATAGACATGCTCCTAGAAATAACCTTATCCTCGTCTGAATTTTCAGGAGTAGACCTTTTACCTGCTGGCTCGCTTATTGACTTAGAATATGCCGATGACATAGTCCTACTTGGTGAAGACGCTGACAAAATGCAGAGTCTTCTGACCACCCTTAGAAACAATGCAAGCATGTTCAGGATTCGGTTTTCCCCCTCGAAATGCAAAATGTTGTTTTAAGACTGGGTTGCATCGGCACCTGAACTAGTGATAGGGAGTGAAGTAGTCGAACGTGTAGACCGCTTCACTTATCTTGGGAGTCTCACCAGTGCTGATGGCCTGGTGACTGACGAAATCTCGGCACGGATACAGAAGGCTCGATTGGCTTTTGCCAACCTGCGTCACTTATGGCGTAGGCGAGATATCCGTTTGCTGACTAAAGGACGAGTGTACTGCGCAGTAGTTCGCTCCGTCTTACTTTATGGCTGTGAAACATGTCCAGTTAAAGTAGAAGATATTCGTAGGTTACTAGTTTTCGATCATAGGTGTCTTTGAAGCATTGCTCGTATATCATGGGACACCCGAGTGAGCAACGCTGTTATTAGGAATCGGGTGCGAGGTAAGAATGGCAGATCAATAGATGAAGTAATGAAACATCACCAGTTGAGGTGGTTGGGACATGTGCTGCGTATGCCTAACCACCGACTGCCTCGTCGAGCTTTGTTTTGTAGTGTAGGAGTAGGTTGGAAGAAAGCTAGGGGCGGCCAGACCAAAACATGGCATAAATCCATGAAGTCATTGACGAGTGGACTGAGCCATGTCGGTAATTGTCGACTACCTGGTTGGGGTCCGCGAGATGATAATAATCGATGGTTAGATACCCTGAATGACATGGCTCAAAATCGTTCGCAATGGCGCCAGTGCATTTATTCTTTGTGTTCTCTCAAATTCTAATCTTCTGGATTCTTCAACCCCCCTAGTTTTGACTTTCTAAACTTTTCTCTCTGAATCATATTTCTTGAATATCTTCTAATCCTTACCTCTTCGATTACTTCTAATACCTTTACTACTTCTTCTACTATTGGATTTGAATTGACAATTACATCTCTGTGCTGATGTGGTATGGTAACATGAACTGATGTACTTACGTACGAAGTTCTACGTTGAATCTGACTGACTGACTTGAGTTAGATTTAATGTGCAAGAAAATCTGTTTTATACGAACATATCGGTCACCAAGTCAAAATAATTAACGTTATGTACTTAATAAAATAATCGAACAGCTTAATATTTGGTATAATGAGTGTAAGTGGAAAATTTTGTTTTTACCATAGATATTCAAAACTTGATACTGAGATTGCTCGTTCGATTTGTTACAATACCTATTTAAGTTCATTGAAGAAACTATAGAAATTAAACTCCTACTTTAATCAATTGGATATTTCATATGTATTATCTAACAATGACCTGTGCTCATTATTGTACTTACAGCACTGTCATTGCAATAGGTAGTAACTACTATGAATCGATAATAATTTGAAACAAACTGTATGTCACTTGAATGTCCAATCAATTGTCGGTTGTGAATAGGTCAATTTCAATGCTATTAAATAATGTGTCTGCAAATTTTCTCGTTACTGATTTGCTAAAATCGAATTGATTATATATTTGTTTATTCACTATATAAATAAAGATGTTTGGTAAGTGAACAGAATTTATATTTATCGATTGAACTTACGAATTATGTACATTTATTATCTGATCTTACATTTTTTAGCTTTATTATCAATATTATTAACAGTAGTTTTGAGTTGTGAATATCAATCACCCATTATCATAGTGAATACATGGCCATTTACAAATGCAACCGATGCTGGATGGGATGTTCTTAATCCGTCAAGTTCTAAAGTATGCGGATCATCAATAGACGCTGTCGTTGCTGCATGCACACATGCAGAAGATGATCCGAATATTGAAAGTGTCGGTTATGGTTGTTCTCCTGATGAAAATGGACACACTTTATTAGATGCATTGGTAATGGATGGTAAAACAATGGAGGTAAGCATGAAACGAATGTTTTATACATTATCAAGTATATTTAATCCACTAAATAGACTTAAAAAATTAGTCTTATGAAATGATCAATTAGTGTACAGAATAATCAAGAGATGATTAATCAGACCGACTATCATTATGTGTAAGCCTACAAATTTTACATCAAACTTTTTGATTAAAATGGGAGTCGGTTAACGTTGGGGGGGACTAAAAATGCGATGAATTTCAGAGAAACTACTTTTAGACATATACACAGATAATTCACCATGTCTATAAAATGATTAAGGTTGCCAAAAATTATAAAATCTTATTATCACCAATTTTATACACAATTACAAGAGCATTTATCACTATTCCTCATTTTTTTTACTTTTCAGGAAGATAAAAATTAGCAGATTGAAATGGATTATAGCAGAGTTATATTGTTGATTGATTAGATTGAAAAATTACCAACCATGGTATTTTTTCCGGGCACAAATTAATAGTACTATATTCACCATGAAACATAAATATCCTTAGTTCAGTTTGTGATCAAAAAGCTTTTCTCTGTAAATGCTAAATTAAATTAAACAGGTACTATTTAAATTTTAAGGTCTAATCGCACAATTAACCGAAATCGAAGCTTCACGTTCTTGGGAACATCCTTTCAAGAATATTGGTTAAATTTGAAAGGTTCTGCAGATACTTCGTCATAGAAAGTTGGGTTTGTATTCAAATTTATGATTTGATAAATCGGTTAAGATTCAAATTATTATCTCAGCACTTATCAATACTGATTATCCCGACACTTTATTCGCTCTAGCGAACATCGGTTGTCTTCAGTCGGAAAAAGTTATTGAAAATTAGTGAAATAATTTCTTAGATACAAGTTAGCAAACCAGTCAGGAAGTGAAGTGCATTTATTCTAAAATCTCCATAGCTAAGAGATTTTAGATGAAGACATAAATTACATATATTACCCGTAAAAGAAACATTAGCATAGAATCATAGAAAATTACTAGTTTATGTAGTAATCAGTAAATCTGGTTGTATTGGTTAGTAGACCACACAGAATTATTAATTAATATAGAGTTTTAGACTTTGGCAAGTGTATGTACACATATAAATACGAAGAAGATAGACTATTTTCCTTTCATTTATTTTATAATCATATTGAATCAAACACAAGTTTCCTATTCAACCTAATGCAAGTCATACGTTTACACGATATTATTCCATAATCTTAGTTCAGTGTACTCAAAAATTCTTTTTGTAATTTTTGTAAACGTACTTTCTGAAGGTAGAAGAATTTCAGCTTTGTTTCAGTGACAGAAAATACTTGGATTGTAACACTTTTGTTTCAAAAACTATCCATCATTTTTGCTTGAAAACTATATTTTTTGTAGGTTGGTGCGGTAGCGTCAATGCCTGAAATTCGACAAGCATCACAAGTGGCACGTGATGTCCTATTTAGTACAAAGCATACATTATTGGTTGGACCACTTGCAGCGGAATTTGCGAAGTCGAGAGGATATAAACCAACTTCATTGGATACTCCTAAATCGCATGATTTATGGTTAAAATGGAAAAGCAATAACTGTCAACCAAATTTTCGTAAATCGTCACAATGGATTCCAGATCCTACTACATCATGTGGACCATACGGACCAAACATTTCTGGTAAGTACGAGTACAAATGATCAAACTTTTGAAGCAAGCTGGAAATCCATATTTCCGTACTAATTAACGCATCTTTAGAAAAGTATCTATGACATTTTCTCCAAATTCAACGTATAATCATGAGTTATTTCCGTTAATCTATACTATAACGTTGAAATAGAGCGACTCCGAAGATGACTTTGGGATAATTATTCTCTTTAATAGTTAAAAGGGATATACTGTTTGAATGAGGCATCTATCAGGAACAGTGTGGTGCAACACATATATAGTGTTTCCGGTTGGTTTATTAATGTCAACTACATTCATATATAGTCTTTTGAATGGCTTTGAATCTATTGCTTCAATCGCACATCATAACTTAATTATGATTTCAATAGGTTCCATATTGAGTTAAATATTCGATGTTTCCAGCTACATATTTATTTGCAGCGGTATCTTCGAATTAAATTATAACACCTTGAATAAACGGATGTTAGAGATATGTCATTTACAAACTTGATAAACAGGAATTAAATAAATTGTTTAACTGATTTTTTAGGTTTCAATATATAGGTTCATTTTGCTTTGTTCTTACCATGTAGTGATACAAATTAGTTATCATTAATAATGTTGGCTTTTATTAATATCAAGTGCAGTTATTATTAGATATAAAAACATCCTTGTCAATATTTACAGTATTTAGTGTAATTTTGCGTATGGGAGATATGGTAAGCTCACCAATATACCCACTGACTATGATTGGCAATATTAAACTAACAAACAATAAGTTACTTGGTGAATTTTTTATTATATATATTTTACTCTGTATTAGGAAGGACAGAAATTAATGGTATCATCAAGGTATAGTGATTACCACTGCGAATTCCGCTACTCTCAGTAGCGCTATTTCAAGGGATCTGCTACAAATGGGAAATCAGGTTGTCACACAGAGATCTTCCAAGGTTATTATTAGTCAACAGATGGATTTTAATCCTTTTAAATCTACTGAAGTCACAACAACCTAGCCGTATTCATGTTTTCAAAAATAAACGGTGGCAGAACTTTTTTATTCTCTCGGCATTGATCCCATTTTATTACGTCATTGTTTTAATCCATACTCTTTTGACTTGATCATTTTCGGTTATTTCATATTCATAATTTTTTCAACTGACTGACCGCAACTCGTTCTTAACTGCCATTAGTTTTAGTGTTCGACAATCAACTTATTTTGAATTCTGTGAGCTTTAGTGTACTGTATGGATGTCCTAGAATCTTCTCTCTCACATTGTATTCATTTGTAAAAATTTTTCTTTAAATATCATAAAACTTTATTCGTATCGTCATTCCAAAATGGTGATGCATATTCACATCAGACCTATCTCACTGATATAGAAGTATTAACTTTTTTGATAATCTTAAAATAATATGAGCAGATGATGTAAACCTAATGAAATGCATTCAGATTATTCTGTTTAAAGATTTATTCTTACTCCCCTCAAAATTAACTAATGGGATCTATGCAAGTTATGTGTCCAAAGACAGAGCTTTTATACAGATAATTATCTAAATCTGTCATATTGGTCAAATACTAACTATGAATTCGTTGTAACGCTTGCTTAGATAATTCCCCGCTAAATCCTATTGCTTAGTATTCTCTGACCACGATACACTGGACAAGTTCCCAAGAATCAAAAACACGGTTGAACAGGAAAAGATTGTATTCCAGATAGCAAGGTTAAATGGAAATAAGAAGCCAAAGGCGAAGGCATAAATAGATACAACGTTAGTCTATTTATAGCATTTACGTGAGAGACTTCTAGATAGAAATTCACGTGGTCGAATGGATTAGATTTAACCAATCAGCACGCAGCTAACAGTACGAGAATCTTCTATCCTGTTCTCCAAGATTCGATCAGGCGCTGATTGGATAGGAAATTAGCCAATCAGCGCGTAGCAACGTAACCATGCTTTAATTCCATCTATGTCCCACTAACAGAATTCTTTAGTGATAAAATTCTGTGGTAAAATATTTTTGAACAAAATAAAATTAAACTCATTCATTCTCAACCAATTCTGATTCAGCTAGAACATTACATCCTTACAGGCATACTTGATTACTTTAAGTCATTTCTCGAGTACTCGGCTTCGAGCTAAATAGTTTGTCTAAAGATCATTAATGTTAAACGACTACTAGAACTAACTTAGTTGCAAGAAAGACTGTCATCTCTAAACAACTTGTTCAAGATTGCATACAATAACCACTATGCTACCATTTGACTTATATGTTTATGCATAACAAAGGCAAAGTCAGTACCAATAAATGACTAGATTAATCTAGATTCAAATGCATCAATCAAAATATGTTATCTAGATATATAAACTAACGAGATTACGATAACAATACAGGTAAAGTTGATGAATAGTGTTATTAGATGTCAATTTCCCAATGATGTTATTTTTTCTCCCACAATTAAGATACTGATTTACGGAAACCGAGTGGTCATTGTGTCAACAAATTAGATATTAACAATCATGATACAATTGGTGTCATTGCACTGGATGCATACGGTTCGATGGCTGTTGGTACGTCAACCAGTGGATCAACATATAAAATTCCTGGACGTGTTGGAGATTCGCCTATTCCTGGAGCTGGTGGCTACGTCGTGAATAATGTATCCAATGAATTTTTTCATTTAACCTAACTGAATTAGCTTAAATTGCAAGTAAAAATATTAATTTTAGAGTATTACTTACTTACTACTGCCTGTCACCCCGAATGGAGCCTAGGCAGCCGGCCAGTATTCTCCAACATACTCTGTCCTGGGCTTCCGTTTCCAGATCTGTCCAATTTTTGTTCATTCTTCTCATATCTTTCTCTATTTCTCGGCGTAATGTGTTTCTTGGCCTTCCTCTTTTCATTTCTCTTTGAGAGTTCCAAGTGAAGGCTCGTCTTGTGACGCAGTCGGGTGTTTTCTGCAATGTGTCTTATCCACTTCCAGTCGATCGCCAGGAAAAAGAAATAAGGTGAGAGTAAGAGACCATGCCTGATACCGATCTTCACTTTGAGCGGGTATGTGAGCTGTCTTCCATGACATGGTTCAAAACCGTTTGCAATGACACAGGTGCATTATTTCTTTGTGTTCTCTCAAATCCTAATTTTCTGGATTCTAGGTCACTTTTATCATTCTCTTTTTAAGTTTATTTCACTAGTTTATACTTCATGAATAATATCTTCGAACCCTAATCTCTCCGATCACTGCTAATACTTATACTATCTCTACTACTATGGGTTTTGAATTGAAAGTTCCGTTTCTCTTTGAATATGTGGTATGCTAACTTGAACTGATGTGAGTACGTACGAAGCCTTACGTTGTAACCGATTGCAGTTTAATCCATCACAAGAATTCCGTATGTAGTTGACTATCTTTTCAGGCACGCCCTAGTGTCGAAGAAGCCTTAACAGTGTTTTCCTGTCCACGCTATCAAATGCTTTGTCAGTCAGTGAAGTTGATGTAGAGTGGTGAGTTCCATTCAATTGATTGTTGCACAATGATCCGTAATGTTGCAATTTGGTCGGTACACGGTCAATCCTTACGAAATCCAGCTTGTTGATCTCGAAGTTGGTCGTCTACGGAGTCCTTCATTCTTTCTAACAACATCCTATTGAAGACTTTGCTTGATATTGAGAGAAGAGTGATGCCTCTTTAGTTCTAGAACTTGATGAGGTATCCTTCTTTCCAGCCTGTCGGTACTTCTTCTTCATCCGAAATCTTGTTGAAAAAATGCAGAGTATATTTGCTGTTACTGTTGTGTCTGCATTCAATGCCTCAGCTGGAATGTTGTCTAGTCTTGCTGCTTTGCTGCTCTTGTTTGTCTGATGACCATGTTGATCTTTGCAATTGTTGGTGGGCCAACATCCATTGGGAGGTCCGTAGATGCTGGTTCCATGTTAGGTGCGTCCATTGAGGCTGGTCGTTCCAAGAGTTTGTCAAACTGCTCTACACACGTGTTTCGCTTTTCTTCAATGTCGGTGATTGCTTTTACCTATATGCTTTTCACTGGTCGTTCTGGTTTACAATATTTTCAAGGAAGCTTCTTCGCTGCATCATACAATTGTTTCATGTTTCTTTCTCTTGAAGCCTTTTCCGCAGTCATTGCTAGGTCATCCACATATTTACGTTTTCTGGCTGTGATGTTCCTGTTCACTTGCTTGTTTGCTTCTGTGTATTCAGCTTGTGTCTTGGCTTTTTCTGTTCTTGTTCAGCTGTTATTGGTTGCAGCATTCTTGTTCCTCCCCTCCTGAATTTTATCAGGAGTACCAACAGAGACCCATTGCTTGTGATAGTACTTCTTGTGGCCGAGAACCTGATTGCGTGTTGAACTGATTAACTTTCCAATTCTTCTCCATGGTTGTTTACTCTCGATTGGGTAGATCGTGCAGTTCCTGGAACCTAATGTTGAGGGCCATCTTGAATTCGTTATGCTTTCTAGTATCTTGAAGAAACGCCGTATTAAAATTTTGTGATGTTTTCTGCCGTGTTTTCCAGTGTTTCTTGAGTTTCGATTTCCTTTGGCGACCAGCAAGTGATGATCTGAGGCTATAACAGCTACTTTCTTGGTACTCAAGTCCTCCATGGTCCTTCTGGATTTTTTGTTGATACAGAAATAGTCGATTTGGTTCTGAGTAGGTGCATAACATTGGATAACATTCATTTTAATGCCCTCTTTCTTTGTTTTGAAGAAGACTTTGATGGCCGTGGGTACATAATATCGGTGCTTGTTTGGAAACGATCGGTGCAACTCCTGGTGTATGTGGAGCATTTTCTTCTTCATGGCTGGAGTATTACAGCAGCTCGACTGATTTGGGAGTATTAAAATCTTATTCTAATTAGGAGCAGACATCAATATAGTAGCTTGATTCACGGAATATTAGGTATCTCATAATCGGCTTCTCATTAAACATTAATCTATTTTATGTGGGTAGCACGTGAACTCCTTTTTAGATTACAACCATCATAAGAAAATTAAGTTTTCTAGTTGGGGCAAGCTTATATATTATTGTGTAAAGTTAAAATAAGGATTTTAGGTTTCGTGCATAATTTTCCACTTGTTCATCTCTAATTTCAAACCTACTCTTTCATTATTGTACACTGAGTAATAAACATAAAGTGTACTATGATTTACGATAAACTACATTATATACGAAAGCACTTTAAGCTTAACAGTGTACTTGACAATCTAATTAGTCGGTAAGCTTGGATCGACATCTTGTCAGATCTTACAGTTTAGGTTGGTGAATAAAACGGCTTTTCCTCAAAAATTGTTTCCGAACACTATCTCATTAGGCAGGTGGGGACAATCGAATTCATTAGGAATCATTTCAATCAGTCAACGCTCAATTCAAATAGTATTTACTTAATTTATTTATAAATAAAGGCTTAGAGGACTAAATTCAACGTTTTCATTAAAAAACAGTATGAGTAAGCTTTGATGTTCAAAAACATGGTACAGATGGATCTCTTAGTTTAACACCATAGAATTATGCATACAAAAATGATTCTAATGTCTAGTAATATCAATAATGAGGTGTTAAAGCTGTCATTAATTGCTATTTTTTGTGAAGCCTAACTGCTTAACAGTTTCGATAGAAGTAACTTTCAGAGTTAATTGTATATTCATTATATCTACCCATTGGATTATACTTCGAATTTGTTAAGATTGGTGGTGAATGTATATTCATTATATCTACTCATTGGATTATATTTCGAATTTGTTAAGATTGGTGGTGCCGTTGCAACTGGTGATGGAGATCTTATGATGCGTTACCTATTGAGTTTTCAAGTGGTTGATTATCTTCGTCAAGGAATTGGCCCAACTGAAGCCTGTAAACGAGCCTTACAAAGTGTGAGATCGGTGAGTACAATGCTATTTTAATTTAGCATCAAACTTTGACTAGATTTTAATCTGATCAAGGATTTCTTCTGTAAAATCCTTTTTCAAATTTATACAACGGAACTTATCGCTAATTGCGAAGCATTACAGACTAAAGAATTTACTAGGCTTTGATTAATTAACTCATTAAATCGTTATATTGACGTTATAATAAACATGGTACTGCGCCTAATGTTCGTACATGTCCTAAACTGTAAGTGTCAATCGAATAACCATTATGTTTTAATTATTCCACTAAATAATTTCGACAAAAATTATTAGAATTAAGATTTTATAATATTTCCGAATGAGCAAAAGAAATTTGAAAGGAACGGTGATGTATTAAGCGGATAAAGAATTCATAGCAATGAATCATTCATTGCGTTATTTCAGTAGATTTTGAGTTATTTCATGTAGTGTCAGATACACAAGATTAAAAGACTAAGCGCAAACAATCTTCAGTCCATATAACTGAAAACGAAATATCGGATCAATACACAAAATTACTGACTGATAGGATAATTCATGTTCGTAGGTCAAAACCGCATAATTTACGAATTCCTACTACAACTCAATAAGTTTGACTTAGTAGAACTCTCCCAATTTATATAAATCCTGGCAACAACACAAGTTAAAAGGGTTGGAGAAGAGTTATGTGTAGCATATATCCTGCGTCTGTTTGTATCAAATAATTTAAACTACTTCTTTGAGCATCTGAGTACATTTTGACCATTTTCCACTCAACATGAGTAAAATGGTGCCACCTCTTGGGTCATATAAATTACATATATACTTACAGGTTCAGCAGGTGTGCCTCACATAAGTACACTAGAAACGAAAAAAATTCCCAGTGGCATCTTCATATTTTTATATGAAGTCAAATATTTCGCCACGAATATATTCAGCATAATCCGGAGAAAGCCAGTAGATTTTGCACTCATTTTGGGATCGTATCAACAATCAATTGATTAAAAGTTGTTAATGTCCCTAAATAGAAAGAACGGCTACCCATTGTTCATTAATCGGTTTAATTTAAGGGCATCTTCGTGAAAGCGATAGGTGCAAATAAAAGAGAAAAAGTCTGATCCTCTTTAGAATCTATAGGATAAAGTTGGAAAGCGTTTATTAGATTGAACATCTTTAACAAGGATACTTAATCACAATTAATATTACTAAATAATCTCTAATAGCGAGACATTGGAAACAGTATACTTTCTCAGCGTACATATTAATTAAACGCTGAAATAAGACTTCTCAACAAAATGAATAATATGGGTTACTAACAAGTATGACTGTATTGTGAAACATTAGGATATATAAACACCTATTCAGCGTTTATTTAAACACATAAACATAGATATTTATGCGCCAAACAAACCACTGAGCTTGTCTATGAGCTGCTCGCGTGCTTGAATCGAAGTAGGTTGTTTTCTCTGGAGGCTACTCCCTAAGCCTTTGACATGCAGGTCTATTCCACAATAAAGTGGAGTAACGTCAAGGGATGCAGTCCAATGGAGGGCGGTCAATAGCAATCGGTTCATGCATCATTTGTTTCTTGAGGATCCTAAAGCCCACGTGCACCATCAGTTTTGAGCTACGGTTTAACAACCTCCCTAGGTGGACCATTTGTACCCAGACTTTCCCCATTCTCAGCGATTCCAGGGTATCTGGAGGTCAGTAATCTTTTTTACAAGTCTGAATCTTGTACAGTGTACTAAGGGACAATTTAAATAAGTGCAGAAATTGTAGAGGTTTCAGTACCTGATATCTGACTTATTATCCTCACCAACATTTGATAGCAAGTTTGAAAACAAAAGATACAACAGAAAGTCACTGTGAACAAGTGAAAGTAATTACAACAGAAAATTGTCTCATACATTTTTGTAGTTGCAAACATCATTCTATTGAAAAGTAGATGAGGATTTAGAAATACATGTTAGCGAAACTACCTCAGAAAAGAATAGCTGTATCATTCATTCTCAACCGAGGATATTGGATCGATGGACAGAAAACTTCAGGAATTAATTCAACAGGGCTTCAGACACTTCGGTTGCCCACGATCTCTAGTCGTCCGGAATGGCGAATCGATATGTCGTCCGCATCTTTATGAAGCTGAAAAAGCTAAAGCAAATCTAAAGCGAGGTAGAGCAGCAGGGTCTGGTGGGTTACCTCTGAGATTTTCAAGGATGGTAGTCCAGATTGAACAGTTAGACTGATTCAAATCTTAGGTAGCATCTAAGAACTGGGCATAATCCTCTCTAACTGGTCTCAGTTACTGATTGTCCCAGTCTATAAGAAAGGAAAAAAGTCCTCTGGTGACAATCACAAAGGAATCAGTTTGATTGAAATAGTGTCTAAATTATTAGCCTCGATAATATTTCAACACATAACTAGAGCTCGTGAAGAGCAGACTCGAGAAAACCAGGTTGATTTCAGGCCTGGACATGGCCGTATAGACAACATATTCACACTGCGGCATTTGACTCTAATGATTATGAGCTTCTATTTAGGTGTCTGTCATCGAAAGGAGTACCAAAAGAAATACATTAGCCTTGTAGATGCTGTTAAACCGAACACCATTGGTCGAGTGAGAGCTCATCGGAATTCATTACTTCAAGTGGTATCCATCAAAGCTGTCCACTTGTAGTGCCTCCACGTAAACTTGAGTTCGCTCATATTTAATTTGATTAAGCCTTTCGATTAACTTATATAACAAAGCTATTCGTATAGCGACAACCCATATGTACAACTGGTATTTTTTTATTGTCTGGTTTGTATGAGCTTGTACGACTGAGCATTGCGTACGCCCACGTGCTTACTCATCCTTTTCGCTTTGATGTTAATCTCTTAAATACCTGGATGACTCAGATATCTTCCGATATATATATACGAACATTTTAATCTTACTAATTCATTCGCACATTCACTCGCTAGTGTGCCTGTCCGGTCTGCTGTCCCATTTTGTGGTGTGCCAAAATAAACGTATTCAACACTTCGGTTTCACCTTCTGATTTATAAACCGTCAGACGCTATTTAGTAACGATTGTCTGGACGAGCTAATTACGAAGCTTAAGAACACGTCGAAATCGGCCACCACACACTTTCTCCATACTTCATCAGATTTGTGGTGGACATGCTTTTAGATTTAATATTAAATCTGTCCAAAATTTTCAAGAGTAGTCCTTCTACTAGGAGATTCACTGGTTGACGTAGAATATGCCGATGACATAGTTCTGCATGGTGAAGACGCGAAACGTGGCCAGTCAGAGTAGGAGATGTTCGTAGGTTGCTTGTTTTCGATCATGGGTGCCTCCGAAGCATTGCTCGTGTATCGTGGGACAACCGAGTAAGCAATGCTGTGGTTAGGAAACGAGTGCAATGTAAAGATGACAGATCAATAGACGACATATTGGAACTTCATCGTTTGAGGTGGTTGGGACATGTGTTACGAATGCCCGACCACCGACTGCCTCGTCGAGCTATGTTTTGTGGTGTAGGAGTATGTTGGAAGATGAAGTCTACCTAGTTGGCGTCCGGGAGACGATAGTACCCGATGGTTACAGACCTAGAATACGATGGCGGGAAACCGTTTGCAATGGCACAGGTGCATTCATTATTTGTGTTCTCTCAAATCATAATCTCCTGAATTCCTCATCATCTTTATCTTTTCAAGTTTACTTCACTAGATTATACTTTTTGAATAATATCTTTGAGCCCTAATGTTTTGTGATTACTGCCAATAGTTTTACTATCTCTACCACTACGGGATTTGAACTGACAATTGTGTCTCTGTGCAAATGTGGTATGGCAACTTGAACTGATCTATGTACGTACGAAGTTCTATGTTGTAACTTACTGACTGACTGAGTCAGTTGTGAAGATATTTATGTCGATATGTTAAAAATACCTTATTCTACTAATGACATATTTTGAAATCTTTGATATCGGCTTTATGATAACTGATCTTAGTGACTCAAACTACTGCATCAAATTTGATTGATATTATTTAGCAAGAAAAATGGTACGGAGCCCTTGTCGCTCTCACAAGTCAAGGTGAACATGGATCAGCTTGTGTAGGATTCACCGATTTTAAGTACAGTGTTCGAGCTTCATGGATTAGAAACCAAACTAATATAATTGCTGTACGTTGTACAGAATTTAATAACCTATAAATTAATATTCTCACATAAATGACTATTTATTTGATTGATTTATTTAATATCAATGTATTTTCTGTGATTTGCAATACAAAGTCAATCTAGATTTAAATTGGGTTTTCTTTGAGTAATAATGAGAGAGGAAATAGCGATGGCATAACATAAATTATGATAACAACAATTCATAATTCATGCACTTTAAAGATTTGTGATGATTGAAAAAATCCTGCCATAGAAAGCAACTGTTCTTTTTTGATATTAAAACGATTAAAACACTAAGTGATGTCAAGATGTGTACATACTAAGGTTGTACCTGATTAAGATTCATCCACCCTAATGATTTCCCGCCTCTCATTTATCACTTCCTAATACTTTATGATAAAATGGATTATTTACACACTGTAATTAATACAAAATACTAGTGTGTATTTACGATAACAAAAGAAACCTAACCGATAAAAAAACTGAGTGATTTAAAAATTTTGTCCGAATCTAAACATATTGAAAAATAAAACTGTTATGCTTTATATATCAAGTGAAATTATTTTAGGCCTTAACACAGGCACAGAATTCACATGTTCGTTGGAATTTTTTGAAAGTTAGCGCGCGAAAAATTTATCACACACACTTTATGTACCAGATATCAAACTGACTTTTATGTCCCATGATCTGACTCCATTTCGGACAAACGAATGAATATGCCATAAATATAAATCTTTCATTTAATTTCGTATAATACATCTAAGGCTAAACCCATTTGAGAGACGGTAGTGGTAGGAAGTCAATACAGATTCAAGTGAATAATTTTATTTCATTCACTTGCTTGTTCAAACAGAAACCAAAATGAGAAGCAGAAAACCAAAATGAAGCAAAGATCGGATGTGTGTCAGCTACATTAAGTAAAAGGTGACTCACCACATATATTCAGTTATACAGTGAATAAAGTAAGCGATATACCTACAGCTGATTTAAAAATAATCAAGGTTATGAGCGACTTGTTGCCCGGGTCAAAACATATGTGAATAGTGACAAATGAACGATAAGTTAATTGGTCTCTCCGATCGATAAAATAAACCACACAGGTGTGATATGGTACCAAACAATATACATTAGTGAACTGATTTATTGAACTTTTCAGTTATGATATTCCACTACTTCCTAAATTATGATACATAAACAAACAATTATTTTTGCCTAATAGTATACACATAGGTTATTTCTTTCTACTGGAACATGATTACATATATCTGTCTTTTAAAATACGATATTTTTCTAAACACTTCTTTGAAAAATTAGATAGATAAGTCAAGAATAACGGAATCAAACAGTTTTATTGTAAAACCCAATGAAATGCACAAAATTGAGAACTATTTCAAAACATTAATATTGAAGTAGATACACTTGCATCTAAAAGAAAAGAAATTAAATAAAATAGGAAGCATAACAGATAAATTGATTTACTTGAATATCATCAGTTTGAAATGATTTGATAGGATAAACTGAACCGAAATTCGTTACATTTGCATTATTATCTGACATTAAACTCCACGACATAGTAGGATTCTAAAGGGATAAATATGAGTTGGAAAATTGAATGTAGTTTGTGAGAAATTTTATGTTATACTGAAAAAAAAAATCGCTAGACAATCTATGAATAATGCAATAAGGCTAATTGAATGATTTATTTTTAGCACTAATTTATTGGTTTCCAGAGTTAGGTGAGAATCATCACTTTAAGTATTACGTAACAAACTCCAGAAGTATGACTAAATATAGATATTCATTTTGTATTTTAATAAAAAGATGCTACTGGCTTATGTAACAAATATACACTAAAGCTGGATGATTCACTGAAAGTTAGATGTACACTTTTCCATAAAAATTTATTGTTTCAATGTCGAAGTAATTAATTGAATATTAGAAGTTATCATGGAAATATGTGATCAATGTCTATACAAGGAGTAGACATTCTAAATGTATTTCAACAACTTTTCTCTCTGTAGGCGAAAAGTTCAATCTTCAGTCTAATAAATTAATTAAAAATGCTCGATTGACTTCTTTATAACTCAAGTGCTTCTTACCTCATTTTGATTTGAGGATGAACGGAAATTTACCCATGGTTCCCAAGTTGTCTCTAAAAGGTAGTCAGGACAAAAATGGGCGATAAATTTGAAATTAAAAGGTGTCGGAAATTAAAACAGTTGTCAAAATGAATCCAATCAGTAATATTAGAAAGATAAATAGCTTTAGATCTTTGTAGTGCTGTTTCATCCTGGCATGGAATTCTGTGTCAACCAACATTTACGAACCCACCAATCGAGCCTAGCCCAAGACTTTCAGTCTTGCGCGCCATTGAGTCTGCATCCAACGACTCCGATCACTTCATGATGATGTACCAATATCTTTGAATGTACTTGGTGGATGAAGTCCAGTGGTCACGGCTTCACCCTAGAAATCGGGAATTACTTCTAGAAATTATTTACCAATACGTACTTAATGACTAATTGTTAACTGATAGGTTTTCACCTACATTTTGTGATATTATAGAGTAGTCTACGATGAGTTTACAAGGAAATTTATATTGATTGGACAAATATATCCAACATATAATTGACGCGTGTATCTGTTTGGATGAACAATCCACAAATTGTACTAGTCATAAATTGAGATCAATTATGAAAAATGTGGCCATAAAATGTCTCGTAATCAAACAAACATTATTGTTAACACTGTGCAAGAATACTGTCAACTGATACAAGAGTTTTAGAAATATTTAGCTGAATTAATAGGTTTATGTAAGTAATCGAAGTATTTTAACCTACCAGACCCCAGCGGTTGCAACACTGAATCAAGAATTTTCAAACGAATTAATATAATAGCAAAATATTCTTGTAGTAATGAAAAACAAATATCTTGTCTAAAAAAGAAACAATGAAAGAGTAATTAGCTGAAAAGTATATAGTCATGTGGAAGAAAAATTGGAGACAAATGAACTAGTGGCAGAGAAAATGTTATATATATATATATATATATATATATATATATATATATATATATATATATATATACCAACGATAAAACTGTACAATAGTATAAAAGGAGATCTGCAACGTATCACATGTTGTAATTCGATAATACGTAAAATCTACGCTGCGAAGCGACTTAGTTTGAAAAATCGTTCAAAGGAGTCATGTCAAAACATAGCAGTAATCAACGAAGTCACTGGTTATTATACTGGGTCGTTTATATTTTCAAGACAAAATACTTATTGTTGAAAGAAAACTTAACAATGAGTTATCGGTCACATGACTCAAAGGTCATACGTCTCCAGCCACTTGTGTTGAGATCTCCCGTCTAGCGGTTGACAAGTGCCATTTATCCGTTTAATGCCTGACTCTGATTCCTAGAGCCAAGGATAATTTGGTTTGCCTTTAAAATTGAAGATTTTAACGTTTGGCATTCTATTTAAAGCAATTCGATAATTTCCGCGATATCTTCTATCTAACTCTAGCATCCATTTCTAAAGCTCTTCGTCAGCTGGCTAGTTCTCAACTATAGTAGATTACTGATCGTCCCTGTTCAATACATCAGAAGCATCTGCAAAGTCAGTTATAACAAAGAACTTCGTACACACGTACACCAGTTCAAGTTGCCATACCACATTAGCACCGAGACTCAATTACCAATTAGCAGCAGTTGGAGAGAATAGGGTTCGAAGAAATTATTCAAGAAGTATAATCTAGTGAAGTAAACTTAAAAAGTGAAAGATACAGGTGATGTAGAATCCAGAAGAATAAGATTTGAGAGAAGACGGAATGAACGCACCTGCGTAATTGCAAACGGTTTTGAACCATGTCATTCAAGGTCTCTAATCATCGATTACCATCATCTCGCGAACCCCAACCAGGTAGTTGACACCTACCGACTTGACCTATTGCTGTACAAACCGATACCACACTATCAGTTTTTATTCGCGATTTTTTGACGAAATTAATCTTTACTGTCCAAGTTGCATCTAACAGGTCCCACATATTCTGAGAAGTGCGATGTTGTACCTTCTCATTCCCACCTCCATTTGAATGATCCTCTTGTTCTCCCACATTGTCTGGACATTCCAAGTGTCTGTGTTGATTGTTTCTGTAATTTTCTGAAAAAGTAAAGGCCTCGTGGCTTCCAAAGTATCTCGGCTTTCACCATGAACTGTCATAACATTTTGACTCATGTTAAAATTTAGATGATTTTTCATAGGATTATTCAAGCAAAATCCTTTTTAAGGATGGCGTCATTAACCCCATGATGAACACTACTTTATTTGGTCTCGAGGCCAGTAGCAACCTTGAAAGGACTTTGGATGAGGTTTTAGGTCCTGTGTCCATTTTGGAATTTTTTATTTATGTCGGGTATTTTGATACACTTTCAAACTAATGCAACTTGATTTGATTAGCTTTTGACAAAGTTAACTATGATTTTCTGGGATTTACTATTTCATTCACGAACACTAAGTAGTTGCTCAGACATCTAAAACCAAACTTACATTTACTGCTCACGTTAGCATTGTCGTGTAATTATGTTGCTTCAAATTGAATTCGTTCACATTTAATTTAGTCTCGTCCTTTTATTTAATTATTTTTTGAAACCATGAATCGATCAATGTTAGACCACCATTAGAAACCTGGAAGCACTGGACGGCCTTTTGGTCCTAGTATGGGACTCCTCAGCAATGCGCATCCACGACACCTGCAGCCCGCAGGATTCGAACCCAGGACCTTCGGTATTGTGCGCGAACGCCCTGACCGCTAGACCACTGAGCCGATACCTAACGGTGTTAATGTCTAACTTGATAAAATTATTTGACAGATAGTGTCTTTAGAAAATTGACAGCTTGTCTACATCTTTGTACTGTAATTGTTGCCTATGTATATGTACGTATGCTTGAAGATTGGTTGCAGCCTATGAGCATGTTCGTTCTACTAGCTATAATGTTAGTCGCTTAAATAATTCGGTGACTCATTCATTTCACTTTATGTGTACATTTTAATCCGATCCATTCACTGCTCGACATTCGCATATAGTTTCGCTTTGTATGCCTGTGGTGCAATGATAAACGTCACCAACGCTTCATTTTTGTCTTCCGAGTTTTATACACCGTTGGATGATATGTAGTAACAGTTATCAAGACGAGTAGTACACGAAGTTTAGGAATTATATCGCTTATCCATCGCCACATCATTTTTGGTTTGATGGAATGTCAGTCAGTCAGTCAGATTCAACGTAGAACTTCGTACGTAAGTACATCAGTTCATGTCGCCATACCACGTCAGCACAGAGATATAATTGTCAATTCAAATCCAATAGTAGAAGAGGTAGTAAAGGTATTAGAAGTAATCGGAGAGGTTAGGATTAGAAGATATTATTCAAGAAGTATGATTCAGTGAGAAAAGTTTAGAAAGTAAAAACTAGAGGTGTTGAAGAACCCAGAAGATTAGGATTTGAGAGAACACAAAGAATAAATGCACCGGCGCCATTGCGAACGATTTTGAGCCATGTCATTCAAGGTGTCTAACCATCGATGGAATGTAAACATTTTGCTCAATACATTAAGAACTGGGTCGCTGATCGCCGAAATCATCTTCGAAGTACACTTCTATTCGTTTATTTGAAAGTTATTTTCAAGCCAATTTTTAACAAATATCTATAACACACATTTAACTTCTGAAGTTCTAATTAAATTACGATCGGAATGAATAAAGCTGGTGAAAGCGGAATAATAGATTACTTTATTCAATCGATTCATTTATGTAAGTTAAATAGGTAAAAGTATCACAAGAAATTAGGAAATTTTGTAAAAATCCAAGCAGAAAGCAAACTACAACAAAACGATTGTCCACATTTTGATGTTCAAAGAACTTGGCATGCAAAATCAGGAACTATCAAGAAAATTATCAAAACTATTTCGTACATTGGTATCTTAACTACTGTTGGTAAATACCACAATAAAAATACTATCACCCGGTATAATATTTTCAGAAAACAAACACCTCACAATGACCAGAGATTCAATGGCAAACATGTCCAGATTGGCAGGAGTTTATTTTATTATGAGAATATCAGTGATTAAGCCAAATGATGGATGTTCGTCTTTTTTAAGTAATTTGTAGTTATAAGAGATTGGATTCGCAGACCGTATAAAGATCCTTTTATAGCAACAAATATTGGGAAAGTTTAAAACTTCTGGAGCTGAATTTCGGATTATTATGGCCGATAGATTTACTCTATAATCAGTAGATAACTTTATTGTTGAATTTCTATGTTTCTCTTACTGTAATCTTTCAGCGGATTTGTTTGCTACCGTTGTATGCTTTACTATGCCCTAATGATTGTTTTGTTTCATCCACCCTCTACCCTTTTACGGTAAGACTACTTAAAATTCGATTTCTTGTTTGGTGTACTACGTGGTCAGGAATTTACAGTCTATTATTTCATGAGTTCTGAGTTATGACTGAACAGAAAAATGATCATTTTAGCTACGTCTTCTGATTATCTACTAGGTTAGAAGGTGCTCGACCAAAAAGCGTTAAAGTGTGTGTAAATTTTTGAAATCGGCGACCGGTTCGGCTGGCAGTATAGGATGTGTTATCTATCGATGCCTTCCCAAAATGAAACACTTCAACCCACTGCCAAGAATAGCCGACTCCCTTTCCGAACATCGAAAGTTTAGGTCTACTTACAATGATTTCATTCATTTACCTTCTTCAGTATTTTGTCTTTGATTTGTTACTCTCAATTGTTACAATTTTGTATTCATGCTAGTTGAAAAATGTTATTTCCTCATACAAACAGTTACTACCGTAATAAACTATTTGATAGGACTATATTTATATTTGTCAAACATTGATATGTTTAGTGTGTTCCGCCAGACTGTGAGACTGACGAGTAGGAGGTATTTAATGTTACTGTACTTTATTGCACTATATTTTATCCTTTCATTTTCTTTTGGTTTGGTTATGCTGAGTAAAATGAAATAGGTGATACATAAGATGTATTCCTTGCATTTTTTAGTAATACACCTTAGTTTTAAATCGCCACTTACATGACAATTATGGTATATTAGTTACTGCTATAGAATATGACATAGAAAGATCAAAATTTTTCTCAAGTGTTTAACGAATTTGTATTCATATACAAATGTGCCATCAGTATTTATGAAGAAAGTGAAGCAGTGAAACACTGACGACCATAAACAGTTCAGTTTTTTGATTGTATAAACATTTTTCAGAACATTGATGACTTGACACAACTAAGTCAATTACTTAAAAGGAGCGTAACAGTACTTCATAATTAAACAAATCTCACCGAATAAATTCTTCATTTAGTTTATTGAACTGTAAAACAAGTGATTCAACAGGCTTTGACACAAATGTACTGTCTGAAATAGATTTAATTACAATACGCAATTCATTTATCTCCGAAATCTGAGGTCGTAAGGATTCAACACAATCAAAAATGTACTTCTTCACATCAGGATTATTGCAAATCTAAAAATAAAGATGGAAAAGGTAGTATCAGTCTGGAAAAAGTAATACTAATGACCTCAGTATTATCTTATAAATCAGTGGTCATAATTTATGTGGAAAGACGAATTCCTTCTAGGAATAATCTGAAAAAAGTAGAAGTTATAAAACCTACAGCTTTATAGTGAGCAGGTGTTTTTTGAAATGATGAGAGTAGTGAATAACTTTCCCACATATCTCTGACGGCACAATGATTTGATTGTCATCGGGACGCCAAATCGAGAAACATAATTTTACTGACTTATTCACTGAGATATTGTGTCCAAGTGTTAACTGTTTAGCTGATACTTTTTGTAATGAATAATCACTGATCTTAATCGACATGTAATTGAACTACTTGAAGTGCGATTTAATTCTTCCGGAGTCTTCCCTTATACATTTTTCTTATACTAATTCTCTTCCTCTCCCATTGTACGGTGGGTTCTCTTTGAAATGTAGTCTATTTGTCGTCTCGTCTGTCTTGTTCACGTAGATCACGTTTTGTATGAAAACCAGCCAAACATACGTATTCCAGGATTATTGTACAATTCCGATTTACAACAGTATCACATGTTAGTAATTCGATCTTAAGAATAGTAATCACTAATTTAGATTGCATCATTGACCAATTAATATTCCGTACACTGATTGTAGCAATCAGAAACTCGTTCACAAAATTATCAAGTCCCACTCCACAACGTATTCTTCCTAGGTTTTCAATGAAGCAAATTGCTATCTAATATCAAGTCAAAGGCAGTAATTAGAATAGGAAGTATTAGGGTGACTGTATAACTAATTACTTAGATGTCAGGTTTAAGTCAGATATATTCGAGCGGTTTCTTATCTCAAACGTTCCACAAAATTCGATTTGCAGCACCGAAATGTACATAATCTTTGTTCGTGCGTGTTCATATAGTATTCATTCTTTCATAAGTTATGCTGATTACTGGAAATTATGCAAACACGACGTACGCTCCCAAGAACACGTGTAATAGACTCAAGAAAGGATCACTAGTAACCCGCGGGCGCTGCTTATCTAGGGTATCTACTGGAAATGACTGGAGTTGTTATCCATCCAGATATTTACAGAATAGTGATCACATGTTACATGCACTTATTTAATGGTCGCCCGGTTATATTAGTGGCGGTATTTTACGTCAATATAAGATTGGCTATTTCGTCTATATAGTTAAAACAAACATTTCAAGCTGCTGTGTTGACCGAGTATGAGATTAGGCAAATAGCCACAGTAGAGATGGTCGTGGAGTACAACTTAAAAGTGAAATCGATGTTACTTACTAGAGAAAGTGTGCTACCAGAGTGCTCCTGTAGGTTCTACCATGTCAGGAAGGTCAGTTGGAGAACGGTAAGACTAAATGCAGTTACTCAAGGTCTGAGGGCGAAGTCGTACTGCTCACTGTAGAGGCGTGTGACAGCAGTAAAGTGTTTCCCTTGAATAACTGGCACCTATAGTGATCCTGTCTTCTCACAAGGAGGGAAGGGGTTAGAAAAATTGACCCTAAAAATGTCACACCTCACGGATTTTCGTTTCCGGCGGTAAGTCCTTTTCAACAAGAACGGAGCTAATGCTTTAAAAATTTCTCATAAAAAGACTGAGCGTGACCGGCCTCAAGCAGTTGTCCGTTGGGCTCGACGGTCATGCTCCCAGGTCTCTAAGACCAACGCTAATCCAATTTTCTTTTCAGGTTCCTCTTCCGATGTGTGGGCAGCCGGGAAGTGACATCCGCCCTCATACCTGTAAGAGCACACGAGTCCTAATCAGTCACAATCAAATCCTTACTACACCCCCTAACATCTCTCTTATCTCCATGACTAACCCTACTCACATTGCTTCATCACCAAGCACCGCTAATGCAAACGATTTGAGTTCACCAAAGGTAACTCCTGATCTCCCGAAATCCCGTTCTAAACCACATACTGGAGCTTTTAATGTCCGGATATTGTGTCAAATAGGTCGACAAGCTTCCTTAGCTAGGACTTTAGGTTCTTGTGTCATTGACGTATGCCGTCTCCGAAAGGTGCATACAGGATCCGAGTACAGTGAGTAATTAGACTCCCTCTTATCTAGATGAAGAAGCAATTCGGTTTACGCTCCGTGTATCTGGAAGCACTGCTGTTCATGGAGCCTCCCTGGTGTAGGTAGCAGAACTAGCTCTCCTAGATTCGATCCCAGTAGACAGTTGCTTATGCGCTGTCCGACTAAACAGAACAGTAAGGACTCGGAAAGATAGGGACATTCGCCATTGCCTCTTCGTCGTATCTGCCTACGCTCACACTGACTGTATCTGGGACGAGATAAATAAATGAGTTTTACAGAAAGCTTTCTAACCTTCTTCAAAAACAAGCGCTCTGATATGGTAATAATGGCGTGTGACTTTAACGCTCAAGCAGGTAGACTAAGTTAAAAGGAAAGACACCTGGGTGGATCTTATGGTGTTGTGGCTCAAAGACCAGATAGTGGCGACCGTCTGCTGCAGTTATGCTCAAATAATCGCCTATTTCTGGCAAATACTAACTTCAAGCATAAAGCAAAACATCTCTTGACCTGGCGACTCCCAAACCCAACACAACTAGATCACACACTGCTATCAGCTATCGGTGGTTAGGGTCCATTGAAGACTGCCGCTTATTCGGGAGCACTTGCTTAGATTTAAGCCATGCTCCAGTACGAGCGCGCATTTGTTTGCGACTTACTGGACGTAGGAAAAACACCGCAAGGAAACCCCTCAGGTCTCTGCTTAATGATAACAAAGCTAAGAATACATCTCAGGAGCAACTAGAAAAACGGTTAGGCAACGATGCCCACCCTGAGGCAGCTTGGAATGATATCCAAAAAGCTGTGGAAACGGCAGTGATATCTGCTAGTAAGGTAAGCCATAAGGTTAGGGAGGAGCCGTGGACCTCAGTGGCATCTGCCGAACTGATAGATGCTCGGAAACTCATCCCTTCTGGCTCGTAACATGACGAGGAGCAAAGTCAGCTCAAGCGCAGATTGATAAAAAGCCTACGTAATGATCGCGAACAGTGGTAGGTAAAGAAAGCAAGAGAGAAAAGACTTATCAAGGAAACTGGTACTAGGAATCTTAGTGAAACTACCTCAGGAAAGGATGGGCTTATTATTCAGTCCAGTCTTACCTGTGAGACTGACTGGAATCTTAGGTAGAATTTGGGAATTGGACGTAATCCCATCTGAATGGTTCCAATCACTAATTATCAGTCTGCGAGAAAGGAAAAAAGTCCTCTTGTGACAATCACAAAGGAATTAGTCTGAATAATTAAGTGTCTAAAATATTAGCCTCGATAAAACTTCGACGCCTAACTAGACTCGAGAAAACCAGGCTGGTTTCAGGCCTGGAAGTTGCTGAATAGACATTCACTCTACGACAGGTCCCAGAATACGCACATTTTGGCGCCCAACAATAACTGTCTTCCTGAAACTTAAAGCGGCATTTGACTCTATTGATTGTGAGCTTCCATGTCAGTGTCTGTCATTGAAAGGAGTACCAAAATAAATACATTAGCCTTGTATATGATCTTAACCCGAACATCATTATATCAACCCCTAGAATCTCGGACTGATACCAGCCATTATGCAAAACGGTTGGGGTTAGAAACCGAAAATTAACATGCAGCTCTAAGTTGGCTTTTCCATATTACAATTAGGATTTTCATCACGAACTGATATCAGTTGTGATGCAATGCCCTATCATTCCACTGCTTATGAGGTGATAGAAATGTGATCTAGTTGTGTTCAGCGTTGAGCTGAATGTCACTCAGACATTTACAACCCAGAACTTTGTATGTACACGCGTTGATTGTGGGGATCATCATGTCAAGTTATTTCGCCTTATCCTTGAAGTTAGTATTTGCCAGAAATAGGCGATTATCTAAGCACAGTTACAGCAGAAGGTAGGCAATCGAATACGAGGAAGAGCTACAGATCCTCGTGCATTAACTCCTGAGAATTATAAGGAGAGTAGTTAAGTTCTGATGGTTAGATTAACTGAAACTTTAACTAGAGATGGTGGAGAAGACTTGTAGCTCAGGTCAATGATTCTGGTGGTGTTTCGTTCTCTAAATTCAGAGAACGAAACACCACCACAACCTTAACTAGAATCTGGAAACTGAACGTAATCCCAACTGACTGGCCTCAGTCACTGATTGTCGCAGTCTATAAGAAAGGATAAAAGTCGTTTTATAGCAATCACAGAATAGTCAGTTTAACTAATATAGCGTCTAAAATATTGGCTTTATTAGTACTTCCATGCCTAACTAGGACTCGCAAGGATCGAATTTGAGAGAGCTAAGCTGGTTTTAGACCTAGAGGAAGATAAATATACTATATACTCACAATTCCATAGGTTATAGAACATATGCATACTTACTGACGTCCGTCAAAAGATGTATTCCTAGACCATGAGGTAGCAGTCGACTCTATTAACTGTGAGGTTATGTGGCCGTGAATGTTATTGAGAGATGCACCTAAAAACATTAGCCTTATGCATGCTCTCTAGTCGAGCACTACTGACCGGATCAGAGTCAAGAGCGAAATGTTATCAAAACTGATAGCTTTAATTTGCATGCCCCAGGGTTGTCCGCTTTCCCCATTCCTATCCAACTTTTTCATCGATATATTTTTAGAGATAACAGTTTTATATGATTATTTAAGTGGTTGATTTTTTATTGAGATTGACTTCTTCACTTATAATACGCAAATGACTTAGTTCTGTTTGGTGGAGACAGTGACAAGAAGTAGAATCTTTTGACCACCTTTATCAATAAGGCACAACTACTGAAGATATCATTTTAAATCCGATTTTCGGAGTCGACTGCTAAGCCCATTAACTTAACAACAGACAGATATATCGAGATCATGGCGACTGTGAGCTATTAGTATCTGATATTTCCAGAATGATATACAACTAAATGTCGTATAACAGCATGTAATGCTGCAGTGACAATGTAGGCCTAATAACAGGTGTTATTACTTATAACTATGTTTCAACCTCGAAAATATCGTGGCTTGGTTAGTTTAATTGTTTCTGATTTCATTAGAACAAATAAAGATTGATAGAAGTGGGGCATTTAGTTATTGATGAGCAACGCAAATTAATTTGTGAGAACTCGGATACCGCCCGAGAGCCTAAGAAAAAGGAAGGCTTTCTGTCTTTGTAAATGGTTTTCGGGAATGATTCGAAGTCGTTGAAAACAGATTATCATTACTACTAACCTGGATTTCCGATGTAACCTGTCAAATCAGAAATTTTTCAAACACAAATTTGCATGAAATCATTGATTCTTGTAATTTCTTTTAAGCTTAGTTCAGTGAAGAGTAATAAATAAAGGTATTAGTTGATATTGGGGGTAAATACATCTAGGTATGAAGTGGTGACTGAGAGTAAGGTGTGACTAAAATCAATATCGCTTACATTAAAATTTAAACGTACGACAAAGTTCTTTAAACTATTATTTACTAACGAATAGCCTAAACATGAGTACACAGGAGCGACAAAATGCATATGCACTACAAAAACCACTGAGTTAGTTGAGGGATGGGATACTGCCCGAGTACTCAAGCTGAAGTAGATGGTTTTCCTAGGCAACTAATTCACGAGCCTTTGACACAAAGATCCAACCCACAAGGCAGTGCAGTAATGTCAGGAAATGCTGACTCAAAGTATGCGGATACGCCATTTGTTTCGGCGGTATTCCGGAACTTATGTACACCATTGGTTTGGAATAAGGGTTTTGCAACTTTTCTAGGTGAACCCTAGATACCCATTAGCCCGGTTTAGACTGAAAACACTCGCTTTTCGGCCTCTCAATTTTATAAACACCCTCACCATGATAGGGCAATGAACAGGTCTTCGCTAGCGGTGGCTATACATTTGTGAACATACGAGAGCATTTCGAGAGGGAGAGAGGTTACTTTCCACTCTCGGCCATACTGGGATAATTTGGGGGCAGTCGAAGCTATTTACCCAATGATCCTTTATCGCTTTTTGCCGTAAATCGTTTCACAAGTAGGCTAATTTTCCTGATCAGCTGATAGGTCCCTCAAAGCCGTCACTGCATTAGATATTATTCTTCTACTAACTTTTAAACTACCTAGTAGATAAAAACAAAACAGGTTAATATATCTCAAGAAGTTCGCTAAAAACATTTTTAGAAATTAAACGTATCAGGTGATAACGGATGTTTAGTGAACGAAAAACATTCGTAGTAAGCCTTACTTAAACACAGGCAGATTTTGGTTTTCTGTCTTCACTATTCATTTAAAATCAGTCAGTCAGATGCAAAGTAGAACTTCGTACGTAAGTACATCAGTTCATGTTGCCATACCGCACCAGCACAGAGATATAATTGTCAATTCAAATCCAATAGTAGAAGAGGTAGTAAAGGTATTACAAGTTATCGGAGAGTTAAGGATTAGAAGATATTATTCAAGAAGTATGACTCAGTGAGAAAAGATTAGAAAATCAAAATTCATTTAAAACGATACAAGGAAAGTGCAATAATTTACCTTCAGGTGCAAGCCGAAAGCGACAAAGTCAGTAAAAGAAGCACGAGGATAAACATTTCTTTCGTACAAATACAAATGAATCACAGATTCAAAAAAGTCACTGATTAGATAACTAACTGGCAGAAAAATATTAATCGAAATCTAGAAACAAACCATCTGATTTTATATGCCGAGCTTGCATCAAACTAAAAAAGGAATAGAAATCTAGGATGAAAACGTAATATAAATCAAAAAAATATTTTTATCCCCAAGCCTGAGTTTTACAATAATGTAAAATTAGTTTCCCCTCTACACTGAAACAGTCAAACAGTGAACCTATCTCTGCATCCATTGCGGGAGCGAAGCATTGATTAACGTAGAGAAACAGAGATTCAGAAGGAGCACATGATATGTATTTTCTTATGAAATCTACTACCCAGTGAATTTTTTGCTTCCTGCTTACAGACCATTTCATCTTTTTCATTACAGGAGCGTTTCCAGCAGCCTTAAGCAAAAGTATCACCTTATCTAGTTGATTTTCTTGCTCACTATTAGAAACATCCTTCTGTTCAGTGGATACACTCATGATAACAATATGCCAATATCCAATATCTTTTTTACGACCTGGTATAAAACAATTGATTTCTGCGCTCGATTCTTGTTCTTTTGATCCGGTTCCAAGTGTCCGGTTGTGTCCAATGAATGAAGTTCTAGTCACTCGACTGTCTAATTCAAGTCAGTTAGTAGTGAGTTTGTATATCTTGGGATTTGAATGAAAACGTTTGTTTCAGGGCAGTAGGGTTTCTGGATATCAGCAGCTATCACATTACCGAAATCTGATACGACCAATTAGCCTTGAGGAATTTTTAAGTCAGTTCAAGGACATTTCAATAAACAATATGGTTCAATTTGTCTATATAGTTTTGGAAAAAAGCCTTCATTCGATAAGCTTTATTCTTTAATAGGTAAAATTCACCGACACCTCCAATCGGAAACCTGGGTATATAAAACAGATAAGAGAAGAAGTATAGATAAATAAGTGTGAAATGTTGTTCCTAGTCTTTAGGAATGTATCAAGTATCAACCTGAAGGATTCCTCCAACGTTTCTAGAACGTCAACAACTGACAGCTCTTTTCATGAATTTATAATTATTAGTTATTAAAATTGCCAATAAAGTTCAACCCGCTGTTCCTGTTTTCACTCCATTTTCGGAAGAACTGGAGACTGAATTATTTGTGTTATTCAATATCTCCAATGTGATGATGCTCAAGAGTTAGTATAAACCAGTTGATTTCTTCGTGCTCGATTCTTTTTCTCTCTGTACGGTTCCATGTACTTGATAGTGTCTGATGGATGGTGGTCTAGCCACGCGACAGTCTTTATTCCAGTCAGCTGGCAGTTGTTTGTGAGTTGTATGTCCAATACATTTCAGGGCATTTGGATTTCTAGATACCAGCAGCTGTCATGCTACCAGGCCAGAGATCAGTTGGCTACAATGTGGAGATTATTAATGAGAAAAGTCTAGTGCTAGTAAGATTTCAAAACTAATTAATTAATTGAATGATTTAATTTATTGAGTATTGAATACAACTCCGCCAGTAGAACCTTCGGGTCTATTGCCGGTCCCAAGCCCGGGTAAAGGAGGAGGGTTAGACATGGGGTTGGCGACCCCATTCCGTCGAAATCTAACTTGCCAAAAAAACGCTAACCAGAAAAAATAAGTCAAACCATTTGAACTCTGCACTGGGAGTTGGAAGAAGAATTATGACGTCGCGTGATGAAAGCCGAGTTCCCTCGGAAGTCACGGGGCCGATGCCTCTTCTCACAGCCACAGCAACCATTCTTTCAGGTACATGGAACGTTCGTACATTGTGGGAGACTGGAAGACTATTTCAAGTTGCTGCAGAAATGAAAAAATGCAACCTCGAGGTGCTCGGCATCAGTGAAACGCATTGAACACAGGTAGGACAACTGAGACTTGCTTCAGGGGAACTGCTGTTATACTCTGGTCATGAAGAGGAAAATGCCTCACAAACACAAGGAATTGCACTGATGCTGTCCATACATGCACAAAAGGCACTGATAGGATGGGAATCTCATGGACCTAGGATCATCAAAGCATCCTTCAAAACAAAGAAAGAGGACATTACAATGAACGTCATCCAATGTTATGCACCTACCAATGACTACAATGACGACGATAAAGACCAATTCTACGAAAGGCTGCAGTCAATCGTCGAGAAATGTTCACCAAAGGATTTGACGATTCTTATGGGAGACCTGAATGCCAAGGTTGGAATGGACAACACTGGATATGAAGACATCATGGGACGACATGGACTGAGAGAAAGAAACGAAAACAGTGAGAGAATTGCAAACCTATGTGCCTTCAACAAACTGGTCATCGGTGGCACAATATTCCCGCACAAACGCATTCACAAAGCCACAGGGATTTCACCGGACCACAATACTCAAAACCAGATCGACCATATCTGTATCAACAAAAAGTTCAGAAGGACCATGGAGGATGTGAGAACCAAGAGAGGAGCTGATATAGCCTCAGATCACCACTTGCTGATCGCCCAAATGAAACTGAAACTCAAGAAACACTGGACAACGGGGCAGACAACATCACAGAAGTAAGTTTAATACGGCCTTTCTTCGGGATACTGTAAAGCTCAATGAATTCAAGATAGCCCTCACCAATAGGTTCCAGGCCTTTCACGATCTACACAATGGAGAGGACGCAACGTTGGAGAGCAATTGGAGAGGGATTAAAGAGGCAATCACTTCAACATGTCACGAAGTTCTGGGTCACAAGAAGTACCATCACAAGGAATGGATCTCTGTTGATACTCTTGCGAAAATTGAAGAAATGAGGAACAAGAAGGCAGCAATCAATGTCAGCCGAACAAGAGCGGAGAAAGTTACCGAACAAGCTGCATACACAGAAGCAAACAGGGAAGTGAAGAAGAGCATCAGAGCTGACAAACGAAAATATGTGGAAGATCCAGCAATGACGGTGGAAAAGGCAACAAGAGAACGAAACATGAGACAATTGTACGAAACAACAAAGAAGCTCGCCGGAAACCATCGTAAACCAGAACGAAGAAATAGGTGTGCAGAGCACTTTAAGGAACTCCTGAATCGACCAGCTCCACTGAACAGACCTAATATCGAATCAGAATCTACAGACCTCCCAGTTGATGTTGGCCCACCAACAATTGAAGAGATTAGCATGGACATCAGACAAATAAAGAGTGGCAAAGCAGCAGGACCAGACAACATTCCAGCAGAGGCAATGAAAGCAGATGTGGAAGCAACTGCAAATATATTTCACGTCCTGCTCAAGAAGATTTGGGATGAGGAACATGTACCATCATATTTGAAAGTAGGATACCCCATCAAAATACCTTAGAAGGGCGGTCTCAGCAAGTGTGAGAACTACAGAGGCATCACTCTTCCCTCAATATCAGGCAAATACTACAATAGGATGTTGTTAGAAAGAATGAAGGACTATGTAGACACCAAACTTCGAGATCAACAGGACGGATTTCGTAAGGATCGATCGTGTATCGACCAAATTGCAACATTACGGATCATTGTGGAACAATCAGTTGAACGGAACTCACCACTCTACATCAACTTCATCGACTACGAGAAAGCATTCGATAGCGTGGATAGGAAACACTGTGGAGGCTTCTTCGACACTACGGTGTGCCTGAGAAAATAGTTAACATCATTCGGAATTCTTATGATGGATTCAACTACAAAATCGTGCACGGAGGACAGCTAACAGACTCTTTCGAGGTGAAGACCGGTGTGAGGCAAGGTTGCTTACTCTCACCCTTTCTCTTTCTCCTGGTCATCGACAAGATTATGAAGACGTTGACATCTGGAGGGAAGCACGGTATCAACTGGACAGTTAGGACGCAGCTGGACGATTTGGACTTCGCAGATGACCTGGCTCTTCTGTCGCACACGCAACAACAAATGCAAGTGAAGACGACCAGTGTAGCAGCAGCCTCTGCAGCAGTAGGTCTCAACCTACATAAATGTAAAAGCGAAATTCTCCTATGCAGCACAACATGCCTCAACGAAATCGCTCTTGGTGGAGATGCTTTCGAGGACGTTAACAACTTTACATATCTGGGCAGCATCATCGATGAGAAAGGTGGATCGGATGCAGATGTGAGGGTGTGGATCGGCAAAGCAAGGGCTGCATTTCTACAGTTGAAAAATATCTGGAACTCCAAACAACTTTCAACCAAAACCAAAATCAGGATTTTCAATACAAATGTCAAGACAGTTCTACTGTATGGAGCGGAAACATGGAGAACTACCAAAGCCATCATCCAGAAGATACCAGTTTTTATTAACAGTTGTCTTCGCAACATACTTCGGATTCGTTGGTCAGACACCATCAGCAACAACGAACTGTGGGAGAGAACAAACCAGATTCCAGTGGATGAGGAAATCATGAAGAAGCGATGGAAGTGGATAGGACACACACTACGAAAAGCACTCAACTGCGTCACGAGACAAGCCCTCACATGGAACCCTGAAGGCGAAAGGAAAAGAGGAAGGCCAAATAATACATTACGCCGAGAAATAGAGAAAGATATGACAGGAATGAACAAACATTGGACAGAACTGGAGAGAGAAGCCCAGGACAGAGTTGGTTGGCGAAAACTGGTGGGCGGCCTATGCTCCATTTGGGGTAACAGGCGAAAGTAAGTAAGTAAGTTATAATATTTGTAGCGGCCTGATAGTTTACATCTGTAAGAAATGCCGCATCCTTGATGCTGTATCCATCTTTAATAACTTTTTTTATAAGGCTTTTTCTTTTTTCATTCAAAATCAAGTTGTTTTTTCTATTTATTTCTGACATTCTAAGGATTACAAAAAATTTTAAAAAACGCTGTGAAAATTTGAAAAAATTTTTTGGTTATTTTAAAAATCCCTGTTAAAAGTATAAAAAAACGAGTTGAAATACTATATATATATATACAGGTAACTTTAGGTAATTAAAATAAAGTCATCATTAGAAAATTGGATTCTTATTAGCACATTAGGTGAATGGAAAAACATTTTCAAAAATGCTATAAATTGCGCTTTTATTGAACATTGAAAATAGATGGACCAATGAAATACATTTAAACTGACTTATAGAATGAGTAAGTCATGTGAAAACTACAGGTTTTACTGATTTCTTTATATCGTTTGTAAAACTTTGACTGTTTTACACCAAGAAAACATGACTGTCGTAGTGCTTGGAAATAAAACTCAATAGTATCTGCTGTTCAGTTTTCACATTGCTTGTACGTCTATTTGACAAGTAT